AGTCCTGGATTAATTATTTATTGTTCGATTTGTATAAAACAAAGTTCATATGCTCCGTGGTCCAAAATGTCATTTATTTTGCTACCGGTACATTTTCTTTCCGGCAACGGAAGTGACGTAAATTTAGCAAAAACTGCAATTTTGACAGTTAGGTACCACTTTTTGAAAGCAAATATTATTTTTTTCAAATCTGGTATGACTGAAAGGGGTTGTCCTGTTAAGGCGCAGAAATCAACGCGCTCAGTTTTGTTAATTTTTATTTCGTTTTCGGATCATTTCAATTTAAAGGTGAAAAAAGGTGAAAAAATGAGCTATTCACAACCTATTCAGGCTTTTCATATTTTAAAATATTTCTTCGCAACTTTCATAAACTAGTAGCAACAAGCCAACAGTGAGGCTGATGTCCCCCGCCGAAATAGGAAAATAATTAGAGGACACATATAAATTTATCACAAATTATCTTTTACAAAGTATTGAACAATCAAACAGTATATCTTTACTTATAGTCTAACAATCAAAGTAGGAGAGTTATTGTTTTCCAAAGTCTCGACCAATCAAATTGCGTATCGCTCTGCTTACCCTGAGCAGAAAATGCTCATTATCAAACTTAGTCAAGGTATTACTGTAATGAAACTATACACCAAGTTTCATCAATCTCACTTAATTAGAACTAAAGTTATCGTGTCCCAAAGCATCAACCAATCAAATTGCTTATCTCTGCTTACCCTAAGCGGAAAATGCTCATCTTCGAACTCCATCAAGGCATTGACCTAATCAACACATACACCAAGTTTGAACATTCTAGCTCAATTAGGAAGAGAGTTATCGTGCCCCAAAGTATCAACCAATCAAATTGCTTATCTCTGCTTACCCTAAGCGGAAAATGCTCATCTTCAAACTCCATCAAGGCATTGACCTAATAAACACATACACCAAGTTTGAACATTCTAGCTCAATTAAAAGTTATCGTGTCCCAAAGCATCAACCAATCAAATTGCTTATCTCTGCTTACCCTAAGCGGAAAATGCTCATCTTCGAACTCCATCAAGGCATTGACCTAATCAACACATACACCAAGTTTGAACATTCTAGCCCAATTAGGAAGAGAGTTATCGTGTCCCAAAGCATCAACCAATCAAATTGCTTATCTCTGCTTACCCTCAGCGGAAAATGCTCATCTTCGAACTCCATCAAGGCATTGACCTAATAAACACATACACCAAGTTTGAACATTCTAGCTCAATTAGGAAGAGAGTTATTGTGTCCCAAAAAGTGTGACGGACAGACAGACGGACAGACAGAAGGACAGACAGACAGACGGACAGACAGACAGACAGACAGACAGACAGACAGACAGACAGACAGACAGACAGACAGACAGACAGACAGACAGACAGACAGACGGACGAACCCATTTTAATAGTCCCCTGCTTTCTTCGAAAGGCGGGGGACAATAATCCATACGAAGAGAATGTATGTGAAAAGTAGTTTGTAATATGAGCAGTTGCCGAGTCACTTTTTACGGTAGTTTGCCTGTAAAAGAGTCAATTATTCTTCGATTTTCATAAAAGTGACCCCATTTGATGCCTAATTTCAATTTTAACTAGGTCAAACCAATTAAACATTTTCAATGTCACCGGAAATGACGTAATTTGGGCAAAAATTGTATTTATAGCCTTCAGAACCAGTAATTTATTCAAATGAGTCGTATTTGTTATTTGTTTAAAATGTTGATATTTGATTCGAATCAACTAATAAAATGAACCCAAACGATCATATAGATATCACAAAATGGTTTCTAACTTGTTCAGTTGCGGAGAAATAGACTTTTTTTCAACAGGTCACTTTTCAAGGTTTTTGGTCCAAAAAAGTGTCAATTATTTTTCGATTCTCATAAAATTTTCACTGTGTGATACCTAATGCTATTTACGATTTCATCGGAAGTAACGTCATTTTGGCAAAAACTGTATTTTTAGCCTTCAAAACAGATACTTTATTAAAATGAATCTGATTTGTAATGTTTTTAAAATTGATATTTGATTCCAATCAACTATCCAACACGATCAGGTCGGGTGTTCGATCCCTGCATTGACCGAGAAAGTTCATCCAGATTTTCCGGCGTGGTTCTCCCTTGTCAGTGATGCAGGACGGAGGGGCTGACAAGGAAAGTTGTCTAGTCGTTCGGATGGGACGAAAAACCGAGGTCCCGTTTACACATTGGCGTGCACGTAAAAGATCCCTTGGCAGTTGGAATTCGATATAAGAGTAGGCCGTAGTGCCGCTGTCCGGGCAAAATTTCCCTCATAGCACACTGTATGGCGTATGCCCGTCTTCATTAGCCCAGGTTAGGAGCAGAACAGTAGGACGTTAAACTCCATTTCATTTCATTTCATTTTCCAATACGATCAAACAGATACCAAAAAAATGGTTTCTAACTTGTACGGTTGCAGAGAAATAGACGATTTTCTACAAGTCACTTTTCAAGTTTTTTGGTCTATAAAAGTGGCAATTATTATTCGATATACATAAAATTTTCACCATGTGATGCCTTATGCCATTTCTGATTTCATAAAACTAATTAAAACTTTTCATTATCACCGGAAGTACTGTTCACTTACATGTAACAAATGTATAAAATGAATTGATTGCACTGGATTTGGTTAATTCGGCGTCCATTTTATTTGATGTGTGCAATGCTTATGTGGAAACCTGTTTAATGGTTTCATTGGTACCGGAAGTGACATATGTTTAGGGTAACGTGGCACCGGTGAAACCCGTCATTACTGCTTCGCAGTTCTAGTTTATTTTTATTTTCTTTATTAATGTTTCTATTTTAGATGTATATAGTGTATGAAACGTGGCAAGAAAACAGTAATAAACAACACCTAGTATGTAGAGTAAATACATAAATATAATCAATAAGATCCATATATGTGACCAAAAATCGTGACAGGAAACTTTTTAATCAACAAAAAATATTTGCTTTTTTGACTTACATCTACACACTAAAAGTTTACTACTCCCACGCATTCATTAGATTGACATTTCTCAATCAAATTTCTTATCCTCTGTTCAAAAAACCTTTGGCATTAATTACCTCCTATTCAATCTGTCTTTTGTAGAATGGCACAAACAAATCCAGTTTTTAATCCAGGAAGCTTTTACCTCATGTGTTATTTGTCATGGCAACACAAAACCAACACAAAAAATATCAATGATCTTGATAAAAAAAAACCTATTCTGAACTTCGGCATGTGTTGCAAAGACATGCACATTGAATAGTAAAACATGTTTTCTTTAATAATGGATAATGTTCAAAAAAAAAAAAAACAATATGACCAGACAGGATGTGTGGTATATCATACAGTTTTACATGAAAGATGCAAATTTGGTACAATTACAATACCTGTAATTAATAAAAAAAACCAGCGGCTGCCAGGCAAGATACGCCCACATTTTGTAAGAGAGGGATAGAGAACAAGCTAAACACAAAGCGATTGAGAACAAGCTAAACAAAAAGCGATTGAGAACAAGTTAAAAAACCAAATGTGATTTTTCGAACAATCAAGGGCCATAATTCAGGAAGTTACAATCTGATATGCGCGAATATCGACAGCAACCAAGATCTTTGAGTTATAAAGATATAATTCAAGTTTCATCAAAATCGGATCAGAATTGTGACTTCTACAGGGTCCACAACCTTGATATACCACAATTTTACACTATTTGCGGACGAGGGGCAGACATTTTGCCGGCAGTTTGGGTCTGATTTTCACGAAATTCGAACTCAAGCATCAATTCAGTGTAACGGTGATATATTACAAAAAAATTTTAAATTGGATAATAATTGTGACCTCTAGAGGAGCCACAAGCTAAAAACAAGATTTTTTGTACAATCAGGGGCCATAATTCAGGAAGTTACGATCCGATATGTGCAAATATCGATAGGCACCAAGATCTTTGAGTTATAAAAATGCATTTCAAGTTTCATCAAAATCAGATGAAAATTGTGACCTCTAGAGTGTCCACAAGCTAAAAATGTGATGTTTCGTACAATCAGGGGACATAATTCATGAAGTTATGGTCCGATAAATGCCAATATCAAAAGGAACCGAAATCTTTTGGAGATAGACCTATATGACCTATATTTCAAGTTTCATCAAAATCGAATAGAAATTCTGATCTGTAGTGTCCAAAAACATATTGTGGACGGACGGACAGGGGCAATGTCAATATACATCCACATGAAAATGTGGGCGTATAAAAATACTACCAGAATCAACATCTTTCATCATACAATTCAATTAGAATAAGAAATCCCTAATGTTTTGTTTTATTCTATGACATCTTACATATTTTCTGTGAAGATGGTGCTTATATCACATGAACTCATTGGCCAATCAAATTGTCTGTAATTGTATACGGGGCTTTATTTTGTGATGAATTATTGGAATTATAAAACAAAATCTGATTTGTTTAAGGTTATAATGTAACTGGTAGAACCGTTTATGGCAGGACAATTGTTACAGAACAATAGCACAATGTAGTATAAAAATAATAAACAAAAAGATGGAACAAAATTGTAATATCACTTTAATTAAATTGTTAATCATCTTTAATCATCTGATACAAAATCTAGTTCAAACTATAAATGGTGTAGCAAGGTATTTGTTGAGGGAGTGCTTTAATTGTAATGACTAACTGTCATAAACCAAGCACTGAACATGAGAGCAGTTAAGGAATGGGAGTGGGGGCAAATTTTGAAGTAATGATTGTAGTGATTGTAGTGATTGTAGTGTAGTGATTGTAGTGATTGTAGTCCTTCCTTCTATTTTAAAAATTACACATAAATTCAAGGTTGATATCCTTAGTAATAGATCTATGAATATATATGCTGTCTGATGGTTGAAATTCAAATAAACTGATGAATAACAAATGACAGACATGTAATCATACTTTAACACAACACAAAACGGTTCTATGGATATTGATTTGCTTACCCTTATATGCATGTCTTGAAAAAAATGCATTAAAGTCTGTCTCATTAGATGACATTCACCAGGTGTCATTGGTACATATGTCTGAAATAAAATTTTACAGAGACTATAAGTCAGCGAAAAAGTGTAATAATATATATAGAAAAATAAGATATTTATTTCATTCATGCCCTGATTTAAAGTCTAGTAATATATAGAAAGATAGATATTTATTCGATACTGGCCAAGTTTGAAAGAAAAACAATATATGCCATTCATTATTCAGCTCTGACCTACATAACTGAAATTACAATTGGGAGCCTTCGGGCTGAATGTGTAAGAGACTTTCCTCAACTTATAATATTATAAACTTCCGCATACAAATAATCATTGATAACTACATACAAAATAAAGTCTTTTATACTTTAATCATATGGAAAAAATTAAAACTTCCAATTTCTAAGGTCAATCTAAAAATAGCAAATACAGTCCATAGTTCTCACGATCTTGATGAATCTTGGGGGCTTGCACTACATGTCCCCACATATATCCATATTTGTCTTACCTCAATTAACATTCTGTATATATGATCTACTTGCTGTCTAATATTGGGTGCACCTTCAATATAGTTTCTAATGGCATCCATATGATTTAACGTACTTAGTAGAATATCTTTTGGTCTTAGACACAAAGAAACTTGATATTTAATTGCCATTGTCATTAGATCATAAAGCTGAAATCATATACATAAAATTGTTTTAATTGAAATATCATTTATGTTTGCCCAGATATCATCATACTATCAATATCCTCCATAATTGCCATTAAAGTTCATTTTCGTTAAAGATTAAGCGGGCCTTATGTTGACTTTTCAACTGGTTTCAATCACTTGCAAATGTGCTTATGTTGATCAAATCAGTAACCGAAGGCAACCTAGAGCAACTGAATTTGGAGCACTTATGTCTACTCGGAACTGATAGCGATTACACTTAACATGTGATTTTTAATTTATTCATCAAACAAAATGCCGAATACCTTTGAAGAAGCACCCCAAAGGCATGGTCGATCTTTCCACAGTTTTACTCTACATTATTATTTACATCAATTATTATTTGAAAGGTGGATGCCTTCAATTTTGCCTATTAACAAAGTCACATGACGCGTTTCTCCTATTATTACATTATGTTATTTCCATGGAAAAGGGTTGACACCAGCTAGATCTAAGAGCACTCATGTTGATGGCAACTAGTTGCAGCTAGTTGAAGTAAGTTACAGAAAGTTAAGCATGGGCAACTGGCTTCAACTGACTGGAGTTCTTTGAGTTGTGAGCTGCACCAGGTTCGACCATTTTCTGTTGCATTCAGTTGCTCCTAGTTGCTGAAACATCAGTTAATCTCAGTTGTAAGGTCAACATAAGCTCCGCTTTAGAAATGCAATTATGTTATGATTAAGGGAATACCGTTAAGATCAAAATTAGATGAACCCAAAAGAATAATTAGGCGTTCACACAGTTTCAGTGTGAAAAACTATTATTTTTGTCCCAATTATTATTATCATTCTTCTTAGTTTTGCCATTTGGCGAATATCTCTGGAACTACTTTAGGATCGCTTTTATCCAAAAAATGTTTATAAATTTTAGATAGGGATAGAAGGAGGTCTTATTCAAATAAAATATATTGCTTAGCCGCTATTTGGTAATTCATCTAGGGTCCCAGTTTCTGTAATCTAATTTAAAGATACATTATGGGAGATTCGATAACGAGTTGGCAGTTCTCACTATAATAATTAAAAACTAGATAACGTAAAGGCAATTTGCTGAAAATTTCATTCAAATTGATCCACTATGAACCGAGAACTAAGCGAATAAAATATCTGCCTAGCCTCGGTCATCATTACTAAAGCCAGTACGTTAAACAGCATAGTCTCGATTATCCATTTAATCATTTAATCGAGAAGGAAAGTTATGCAGTAAATCGAATCACAATCCACTTAAGATCGCAGGCTAGCGATGCCATCTAGAGTTATGGTCTGGATAAGTTAATTAATGTCTAATTAATAATTTAGATAACATTTCAGGCCCAAAGAAAGACCTGCAATAGACAGATTTAGCTCTTGCATAATGTATGTTTAAATACTTTGTTGAAATTGGAAGTGGTGTCATCTTTTCAAGTCCTTTTCTGGCCTGTATGGAACAATTTCAGATAGAGGGATTTGTAAATTTAACATATATTTTATTGGTACCAGAAATATGAAAAGATTTTCTTTGAGTGTTCAATAATTCATGCAAGATAAACATTTATTTTCAAACTATAGTCTAAATTCTCTATTCGTTATGTCAAAAAAATTCATTAGATAAATGTATATAAATTGATAAAACTGGATTTAAGTTTCATGTCAAAGTTTTCAGCTGCCCTGATGGCTGATGTGATTAAACGCATATTCGTTCCACTTCTTAGACCTTTCCCAGAAATTATAATTCTAACATTAGGCTTAAAATTAAGCTTTGTAAAATATGTCATTAAATTTATCTCTATATTTCATTTACTATAATATTTGTTTCACATTTCATTATTCTTACTGTGTGATTGTAAAGGGCTGCTTTATTCTGTAAAGTGAAAGGTTGATTTTTCAAGAGAGAACTTTTTGATGAGTTGGGATATTTAGATCAAAAAAGTCTCACCAATTGATATGACCTACATCAAAACAAATTAAGTGGGGTATGAAAATCTAAGGCAATGGAAAAAGAGGTACTCTCTACCATTACACAGAATAGTTAAAATCAGGTTGCTAGGACAGCAGGTGTAATAAATAATGTTGTATTAAAATATAGACCATTTTAACATACATTATGCAAAAACTAAATCTGCCTATTACAAGTCTTTCTTTAGGCCTGAAATGTTATCTAAATTATTAATTAGATATTAACCAACTTATCCAGACCATAATCAACTCTAGATGTCATGTTTATTGGATTAGGTTCCGATTTGCTGTTCGACTTCCATTCATGATTTAATCATGAAATGGATAATCAAGACTATGTATTTTATCGTACCTACTTTAGTAATGATGATCGAGGCCGAAAATTCAATCGCTAAAATCTTGGTTCAGAGAGGCTCAATTTGACTGAAATTTGCATCAAACTGCCTTTACATTATCTAGTTTTTAACTATTATAGTGAGAACTGCCAGCTCTTTATCTAATCTTCCATAATGTATCTTTAATTAATTATCTTGTCAGCTAGGTAGTAAACAAATTTCATAAAATATCATAAAGGGGTATCATTAACTAAGAGATATATTCTTAAAAATTCTTGGAAATCAAGATACTTCTTGGACTCACTATGGTGTACCAATTCCATTCTGATTAAATGGTAAGAATTTGCAATTTTTTCAGATCACCAAGAAGCATAATTTTGCTCATTATCATCAATGTGGGCGAACGAAAGATCTCCTTTTGTGTGGGATTTGACCAAAAAAACTAGTTATATTGTTGGCATATATTTTTAAAGCTAACACTAATAGATCAGACCTTTCCAAATTAGATTTTAATGTTAGCCTTATTTACAAAATATGGATTTAATAAGGAACGAAGATAATAAAGCTTGATAGAAAATTTAAATTCCATTTGTTTTTATATGGCACAAAATAATCAATGTCAGCATGTATTAGGTTTTAAGTAACTCAATAAAGACAAAGTGACAGGAAGATGAATTTATAAAGTTATTTTCTGTCCAAATCCCTTCTCTAGAGTACCATATACATGCAACATATTTAATCATTGTATCATGATTCTGTTGTTACTTTTGACCAAAAAAAAAATAAAACAGACAGAATTAAATAAATGCAAATGAGGTTGTACTAAAATGTGTCAAGAAATTAATTTATTGTATCATAGAAGAAAAAAAGATAGCAATTCAAAGCATGGAAATAAGCCAATACAGCAACTATGTCTTGATAGCCATACACAGTAGTTTATCTGAAAGAAAAGTCTGGATGTTGACCAAATTTGGTAAGAAAGGATCCTTCAAGAAATCTGGCCCCCGAGTTCACAAAGCATACTCTGACTTAAGTTAAGAATATATTCAAAATGATTCGCCTTATTTTAACTAAAATGTAATCCTTGCTAGAACTTTTGTTGTTTTAATGTATCAAATACATCAATAAGAAACTATGTGCAAAGTTTTGTGTTTCTGGATAAAAGATATTTCTCATAAACAGTGATTGAAAGTTGAGTAAATTCTCAACTTAAGTCTGAGAATGCTTCGTGAAACCAGGGCCTGATCTCTGTTGTCTTCACAAGGTTGAACAAAATGCATTGAAAACAGAAGGTCACAAAATGCTGATCATAGATAGGGTTCGACCTTTCATGACAAGTCATCGCAGCAAATTTGAAAAAAAAAAACCCTAAAAACTAGGGAATCTATTGCGTTCAGAAAAGTGTGATAACTCTGGAATTGTGGTTTCAGAATATTGAATATCGATAGAGTTCATTTTCCCACACCCCAAATGATTCACTCCAGATTTGACACAGATCCATTAAAAAATGCACTTTCTATCATGTTCACAAGGTTTTTGAAAAAGGGGGTGGAACGGAAGGTTGCGGAAAGCTGAATATTTATAGGGATAGACCTGTCACTACCTCAATGCTTCAATCTAAATTCGATAAAAAAAATCTGTGAAAAATGTAGCATCTATCTTGTTCACAAGTGGGATAACTCTGAAATGGAAATCCATAGAATGTTGAATATCGATAGGGCTTTTCCTCTCATGAAATTAATGCTTCAACCCAAATTTGAAAAAAATCTAAGTGACAGCAGTATACTCCCACACTTAAATGGGGGTGTATAAAAATGCCAAATTCAACCATGTATTCCATAATTATATCCTAGGTAATATACCTTTAAATCAGGGTTCCCGCGGCTTCGTCAAACATTTTTTCAAGGATATTCAAGGATAAATATACGTCAAATTCAAGGATTTTCAAGGACATTTTTTAGTCTAAAGTTACAATTTTTCATCTTAAAAATAACCAAAACATTACCAACTATCGTTATAATCTCATATTTAAAAGGAATTGAAGACATTTGAAACAAAATTAAGGATCTCAACTGAAATTCAAGGATATTTTCCTATTTCCGCGAAATTCAAGGATATTCAAGACCTTGAAAATGAAATTTTAAATTTAAGGATATTCAAGGATTTTCAAGGACCGCGGGAACCCTGTAAATGTTTAAAGTTTTATGACTATAACTTGAATGGCATTAAAGCATTAAAATATTTACTCTTAATCTTATCAAAATACATTCTTCTGTGTCCTTACAAAAATAGCTGAGAATGTTTTCATCTATAGAATTGTAGTCATGAACGTCTAGAATTCTAAATAGAATATTTCAGTTAATGATTCGCTGTATTTACATATCAACAGTTAATTATTAAGTGAGTTTCTAAAAATAAACTAAATATTTTCTTAGTGTGTAAATTGAGTTACTATCATGTTCCATATGGACAAAATAAGAACTAAAAGGAGGACCCATAAATGTCTCAAAATGTTTCAAGTCCTATTTTTCTGCACCCAGAGAAAACCAATGAGGTTGGACAGACTACCCTACTCCTTGTAATGTATAAGTTTAGTATCGAAACCATATCACTTGACTCAATGACAGACAGTATGATTTAAAGCACACTTGATCACCCAACCTCCAAATCTAAGTAACTGTAAAATATGAAATACGGAATGAAAAAATGAAGAACCAGCGGTTGCCATGCAAGATACACCCACATTTTGCAACAGATGGATTGAGAACAAGCTAATAAAACAAATGTGATTTTTCGAACAATCAAAGGCCATAATCCAGAAGTTATGGTCTGAAATGTGAATATCAAAAGGAACTGAGATCTTTGAGATATAATCATATATTTTAAGACTTATCAAAATCAGACAAATATTGTGACCTCTGTGGGTCCACAACCTACTTTAACACTATTTGCGTTCAAGGAGCAGCCATTTTGTCGGGCAGTTTCAGTCTGATTTTTACTAAATTCAAACTTAACCATCATCAATGATATATTTAAATGATTTTTAAAATCGGATAAAAATTGTGACCACCAGAGGGTCCACAAGCTAAAATTGTTATCATTTCGTATAATCAGGAGCCATAATCCAGGAAGTTACGGTCTGATATGTGCGACTTCTAGAGTGTCCACAAGCTAAAAACATGATTTTTACGATTGAATTTACGATCCCATACATGCCAATATTGAAGGGATCCGAGATCTTTTGGAGATAAACCTATATTTCAAGTTTGGTCAAAATCGTATAAAAATTGTGACCTGTAGAGTGTCCACAAGCAAATTGTGGACAAGCGGATGAGCGGACGTCCAGACGTCCGGATGGACAGGAGCACCAACAATATATCTCCACATAAAAATATGGGCGCATAAAAACTAAATGTGATAAACATGAAGCGACATTTATTTAAAGCCAATTTAGCCAATGACTTGGTACAAATCAGACTTCAAAGTAAACAGGTAAACCATAAAGGCAAAGTTCAAATCGGAATCTAATAAGGAATTGATTTAAAGTAAATCATCTGAATACCAAATTTTATAAGTATTGATTCTTGCATTGGCCGTAAAACAAGACTTTTTTGACAGAGTTTTATGGCATTATTCAATATTTGCATTAAATATGTACAAAGTATCTTTTTTATTTAAAATGCAATAATCATATTATTGTTTTTTCTCTATAATTTACTTGTAAATCAATTAACTAAACTCAAATAAAACTATTTCAGAATATCAATCAAACCCTTTTCATCCATTTTTGTACTACATGGTTGATATAGATTTTCAGACGTACTTTTAATTGCATAATAGAAGACACAGGGATATAAACATGCTATCACGCAATTATTGACCGTTTACATGTAAAATTCTTAAAAATTCAATACGAAAGAAAAATAGTTGTTCCTTAAAGTAACATTCTAGATAGTTTCGTTTTCAATAAGCTAATTAATGGTGTATTACAAGTTGCAAGTTTACATGATCTATATCTCTGACTCTAATTAATGTTCAAATGATCATAAATCCCTATGTAAGACAAGAAAAAATATCTGGGTTTATGGTTACCCTACTGACCCGTTAAGGGAATATTACATTTCGAGTGAAAGGGGTTTGGTTGATTGAGTGATCCAAAGTATGAGCTTTAGACGATTAGGTCTGTCATTGAGTCAATGCTTCCACGTGACGAATAGTAGGGTTGCCTACACAACCTCATAGGTTTTTTAGGGGTCCTCCAGTTTCCTCCCATAGCTTAAGGCCCCTACCAGCGAGTGAATTTTTCGAATAAAAGTGTACCATGTGTTAGTCCCGAATTAACCCTCACTCACTCACTCTCACTTTCAGTGGTTACTTGTTGAAAGCGAACAGATACGTGTAGATCAGTAAAGGATTAATTTACTAGTTCAGTTAGTTATATTCGTTCTGGGTTTTTTAGGGGGAAATGAAATGAAATCAAATGGGGTTTAACGTCCTACTGTTCTGCTCCTAAACGGGACCTCGGTTTTTCGTCCCATCCGAATGACTAGACAGCTGTCCTTGTCAGGTCCTGCATCCTGCATCACTAACAAGGGGAAACAACGCCGGAAAATCTGGATGAACTTTCTCGGCCAATGCAGGGATCGAACACCCGACCTCCAGACTAGCGAGCCAGCGTCTTGCCCACTTAGCCACGTGATCCCCCTTTTTTAGGAGGCCACATAAGCGTAAACATAGGTTGTAATAAGTATCAGGATGACTATAGATGATCTAATATATCCTTTGTTTAAAGTTAAAGTTTAAGTGAAATGATCAATAAAAAATCAGTATATATGCTTATTTATATTGCCAATCAAAACAAACGGCACCTTTATGGAACGAACAGAAAATTTGAAGATGTGTTTCTTTTCATGTTGAAAAATGAACTTAAGAAAAGAGAAATATTGACATTCAATAATCACTTGGATACAACAACTAAACTGATATAAATACATTTTTACCTTGTCCATACTAGCTGCATTTAGTCGCATGATAGATGCGTGGGCCAAGCGATCAAACACCGTTCTCATGGCTTTTTTGGAATAAAGGGTCTGCGGCTTGAAAAGTTCATCCATGAATCTTTTATTAAACATAGTAGATACTATATCATGTAAAACTGAAACAATAAACAATTAGACAAAAACATCAGTATTATCCCTGAAACGTTTTTTAAAACTTACAATGATATAAAATCAAACATTTTACTGTTGTAAAATATAACATTTCAAAGTGATAGCTGAGATAAACAATGTTATAAAATGTAAATGTGAAATTTTCAGTGAACAACTTTTAGCATTTCACATTATAAAATAAAAGCACAAAATAAAATGTCAAAAAGAAAATATGTATTGGGTAAACACATGAAATAAAACGCAAATCTGATGAAAACTCTTGCCTCTGCTGCACTGACAAGAAAGTGTGGACAGACTGAAACGGTGATCACAATATACGACCACATTAACATGTGGGTGTATATAAATGTAAGGATAAAGACATGAGATAAAATGGAATACTAGTATTATCCCATTTTAAAATGTAATATCATCACGTAATAAAAATTCATCAGACATGATGTGATAGATTTTATCATATAAAATGTGCATTAGTTTAATGGTATAGAAGATATTTTGGTCAATACATAATCTTTATCATATTTCTTTGCATCCAAAATAGTAGTTTTATAATGGCATCTTCATATACACTTAAAGATGGGTTCCCAGAAAAATTTTATCGGGTGGTTATTTCCAATAAAAGTATGGCAATTTTGGTATATATGGAAAGTAGAGACATCCAATCTTACTAGAAAAATACTGGATTCCCCAAAAAACACTCATGGAGCGTATACAGGACAAAAATGTAAGGGTTCCCATTATCAACAGCCCGATGATTAGGAATTTCTGCACACGTGATGTCAAAGGTCACACGCAAACATTGAGCACTTGATATACAAGTTGATAAACTTTATGAAGAGTTGGACGTACAACACTTTCTGAGATAAAAATGACGGAAAAAGACGCAGGTAGTGGATAATCTGAGAATTTAATTAGGATTCGATATTTGTAATAAATAGTAAGCGATTAAAGACAACATCGTCTTATGTATACAATGAATTCTCCTCTGACTTCCAAGAGAGGTAAGTCACATGGTGTAAACATGACCTGGTTTGATCGAATTTTTATAGCAGGGCATTCCTTCGCAATTACAATGTTTTAGAAGGATTTGAAGCAAAATTATAACAAATTAATTAGTTTGAATATGTTATTTTTGTCCATATATACCATTAAATCACCCAGTTTGCACCGGGAATGTATCTTTAATACAAAACAATATTCATTTAATAATGGCTCAGGTTCTTAAATTCCTTTGAAACATGAAATCACATAACATGCTCAATATATAAATGAAATAAAAATAACTATATCGAATAACAATTACTTTGCTATAGTAAAATCCGAGTAATCTTTATTTTATCTAGTTATTTTTATTTTATTTATGCTCAGCAATTGCAAATGCCATTAAACATTAGTATAGGTAGTTCCAAGAAAATCCAACATGATCTCGAAGCAGGGCGGCTATGACACCATCAGGGATTTAACTTTCAAATACATTATTAACATTATATATTTTTCTCATACCATTAATTTTCACTTCTACAGTGTGAATATATATTTACACCTATATTTATACTACACAATGTTAATTGAGAGAGAGAGAGAGAGAGAGAGAGAGAGAGAGAGAGAGAGAGAGAGAGAGAGAATGGGGTTTAATTTCCACTTGACACAAACTAGGTCATTTCAGGACTAACATATGGTTTAATTTTATTTCAATAATTCGCTTGCGCGTAGGGGTCTTTAGCAGTGGGAGGAAACCGGAGGACCCGGAGAAAACCCACAAGGATGGACAGGCGACCCTACTCCTTGTCACGTACAACCGGGGATTCGAAACCACGCCAGTTGACTCAATGACAGGCTTTATGATACAGCACGCACATGCTAACCATTCGGCCATCCAACCCCCCACAATGTTAATTGAAAGAATACTTTGTCATATATTGTGATAATAAATACAAAGACACTTTATTGTTCTGAAGCATATAACTTTAATGATATTATATGAAACAAAAAAGCAAACATAAGCAATAAAATTATAGAAATATAAAACCTCAATCAGTAAAATCCTCTCTCAAAGATAGTTTGCATCACTGTTCACACCCTAAATTAACTGAACTGTAAATTTTGCCAATCCTGGCATTTCTAAATTTGGACAAATATTTTGTGACCCAAATCCCCTTCCATAAACTTTTTACAGATTTTTGATGAAATACAAGACTGCAAATTTTCACAAAAGAAACCTTTGAATGAACTTTATCTGTATAAAATTTAACATCCACTATGAATTAAATTCCTGTCAAAAAACACAATGAAAATGAGACATGGACATGTGGGTGTTAAATTTACATTATGAACTACCGAAATCTAATAATGATGGAATTTATTCTTTATCTTCCAATAAACATTCAAATGGTTAATTTGATCAATGGGCTATCATATTTGATTTTCAATTGAAACATTTTATTTTTGGTTAACAGTAATGAATGGGTTTCCGGTATATAAACTTTTTAATAAAATTGTAAATAAACATTGATGAATCAAATTGTACCATATTTCTATTAATAAAATTATCTTTAAAAATAAAACTGAACGATAAATTACCATTCCACCCACAAGTTTTAGCTAATTGATTTAATATCAAGTCTGTGCTATCTAAATCAATATCTATTGGCCGTTAAATACAATACGAACACACAATGAAAATCGAACATTTATTTTCATCTGCCTTAACTCCGACGCAGATCATTCTTCATTCATTTCTGCAGGTATATTACATACATATAATGATATACTATAATAGATTTTCATGTAGGAATAGCGTTAACTATTAATGTTGTAGGCCGATTTAATAAAAGGATATAGCCAATCAGAGGCGCTGGTTATTTAAAGACAGAAGTTAGGTGATTATAGTCAAGCGACCGTCACCTTTTCTATTGGTACATAAAAAATTGGTTCCAAATATAAAGAGCAGATTCAAACTTCTATCCATCAAACCTAAAACTGTGGACTCTGAGAGAACTTATTGCATTTCTGGTTTAATATTCTTTCAGGAAAAAATATTTTCTGAACAAAAACTGTAAGTACCTTTATTTCACTTTACTTTTACTTGTTTTAAATATTTATTATTTTAAACCAAACCTAAAGATTTCTTTATGCAAATCTATAAAAAGGTAGATATGATTTTAAACCAAACCTAAAGATTTTTTTTATGCCCATCTTTGTTCAGTTGTAAAACATTTACTGCTAAAATTCAATTTTATATAAAAGAAGATAAAGAACTTTTAAGCCCATACATTTATTTCATATTGACAATTTGAAATTTGTTTAAAATAAATATTGTGCTCTTTCATAGTAAACATCTACAAATATATTGATTGTCTTGCTACAATTTCAAGTGTTGGTCACAGATTTCCTTAATATTTTTTACACAAATAAAGAGTAAATAGCTGTAGCCTTGCTATCTCAGAAATCAATTTATAAGTATTCTTTAAGAATCAAGTATCTGGTATAGACTAGTCACCTACAAAATAATATTTCCTTTCTACTGAGTATACAGAGATTTGTTCAAAGGATTTAAAAATAAACCATTGTAATGTAAATTAAGTCAAATTAAAGTATTGAACTGGGTTGATCTAATGAGTTTTTTGGATTATTGGGGAAAGATCTTTACTATTAAATTCTACTTTTGAAATATCAAGTGGAAGTCGATTTGTCTATTAATTTTAGTTTTGTAACTGACATAAACTATCAACATGAACAGTTACTCACTTTGCAAAATAAATCAACACATCAAATTTTATCAATTTCATTTTTCAAAGTTGAGTGAGTTTATTGTATTTAGCTTACTTCATCAAAAGTTTTGTTATCAATTTTGTATTTTAAAAAAGTGGAGTGTATTTTAAAAAGTGATGTCAGCCTTATCATTTGCTCTATCAATGTATACTGTTCAGATGGTCATGCTACCTAAATGCAAAAGTATATTTAAATTTTTAATCTGAATAATGAATTTCTGCAACGGATGGGTCAACCCATAGCAATTGCATTGTATTGTTTGAATCGCCTGTGCTTGTTTAATAAAAATGTAGAATGGTAGGACGTTAAACCCCATTTCATTTCATTTCATTCAATAAACATTTTGTTTACGTTGTTTATGAAGATATCATATTTTACAACAAGTTATGTGAATCATATACATGTTATGAAAGTTTAAAAGATTTGAATTTTATTCCTGTTTAGCCTGTGTTGTTTGAATGGATAGTAAGATTTTGAGACCTGCTTATTATTATACTAACAATAGGATATTTCTCCTGACATATATTTCTTTGGGTCAGTAAACCGATTTGCTATATTAGTATTTCACAATATATGGCATTATGTGAAACATAACAGGATTAATTGCATGTAACACTTTATAACCTCTAGTAGGTCCTATTGGTAAATAATACTTGTATTATATCTACATGAGAAATTGAAGTAATTTAAGTACACAATAAAAAGGATTAAAATTCATAAAGTAAGTTAGTACCATACTAATGTATAATCGTTTATCAATTATGACAGCGCATAAATATATCTAACCAGGGAAATAAAATGAAATGGGGTTTAATGTCCAAACTGGGCTAATGAAGATTGGTATATAAACCGTTCTATGAGGGAGAGAGAGAGAGAGAAATGGGGTTTAACGTCCACTCGACACAAACTAGGTCATTTCGGGACTAACATATGGTTTAATTTTATTTCAATAATTCGCTTGCGCGTAGGGCTCTTTAGCAGTGGGAGGAAACCGGAGGACCTGGAGAAAACCCACAAGGTTGGACAGGCGACCCTACTCCTTGTCACGTACAACCGGGGATTCGAAACCACGCCAGTCGACTCAATGACAGACTTTATGATACAGCACGCGCACGATAACCATTCAGCCATCCAACCCCCCCGTTCTATGAGGGAAATTTTGCAAAGACAGCAGTGTTTCCACCTACTCTTCTTCAAATTTCAACTGCCAAGGGTTCTTTTACGTGCACGACAATGTGTACATGGGAACCTTGGCTTTTTGTGCCATCGGAACGATTAGACACTGTTCCCTGTCAGATCCTCTGTCCGGCACTGCTGACACGGGAAAACCAAACTGTATAATTCAGTCGAAGTTTCTCAGCAAATTTTACAATGCAAACATTTATAAAAGAATTCCTTTCTGTAAACATATAATCCAAATCCACATAGATGGAATAAATTCTATAAAACTGAATATCAAATGAGCTGGTCTGTAATAGGGTACTGAATTTAAATTTAAAAAACCTCCAAAGTCCATAATTTAGTCAAAAATAGACAGAATCTCAAGAAACGAGAACTTGATATGTGACTCAGCTATGTACGGCAGTGTACCAACTTTCAAACAAATGCGTTAAAGTTTTAATAATAAATAATTTTATTGATTTTAAGTCAAAAAAGGGGACATAAATTTGATTCCGTGAAACATTAACAGCATCCCACAAGACTGAACTTGATCTGCAACTACTATAGTAGTGTACTATAAAATTCCAATCAAATGTCTCAAGTGTAATAAAAAACATTCCAGAAACCAAATATGACAGACATTTGGATGGATACAAAACCTACTACAGCCCCTACTCGATCGTTTCAGATTGCATATTTGATTTTTTGTAAAAATAGTCAAATGAACAAAATTCACAATCAGCAATGACATTTGACTTTTCTAGCTCAGTGATTTTCTTTTTGAACTTGACATGTAGATATTTCATATGCAGTTTGATAAAACATTGTTTGAACTAGATAACATAATTAATGTACATACGTAAGAAGGACAAGGGTCAGTTATTTGATTCTAATAAAGTGGCATAAGCTTACAGATTGTATGTCAGTCTTTCAAATTATCAAAAAGTACATAAGGAAAGATAACACAATTGTGATTGTCATTTTACGTGAAACAGTAAGTAAAGATATTTCTAAAAGTACAATGTTTTACGGCATTTGAATTGGCTTTAACAAAGGGATTCTTGTTTTCAAATATGTTCACAAAGATAAAAAAAAAAAATCAAATATTTTTTTTAAAAGCTATGACCATTGATCTGAAGACTGTTCCATAGGTTTTATTTTAATAGATCAAATAAAATAGAGTAGGAAGGAGCATAACAATTTACTTTTATACAGTGCTTTTAACAATAATCATTTCTGTAATCATTTCATTTAGAATAAGTTCATCTTTATTTTTTCTTTTCATAAAAAATGGTTGTTTTGGGGTTTTTTTTAAATTTTAGAATCTATAACATACCAAAACATGAAAAATAAAATAAATGGTAAATAGTGATAACACGGAATGATATGGGTTTTTATTATTATGCTATAAGTCTGTTTAATTTATATTCACAATTCAATCTAGTATCTTAACTGGTAATCTATTTCATTTGCCCTCTTATTCATTACTCTCATTACTTGTATGGTCTAGTAAGCCTACACTATTCAAGGTAGAATTTAATTTTGTGTGTACATTTTGTCTTATATTGATTTTACTTTTTCAAAAATTACACTTGTAGCTTTACTTAGAATATTTACCGTACATCAAAAAAACAAATTAGGAAAGCGGACTTTTGGTGACCTGGAACATCATACTGCCACTGCTTTTATAGCCATATTTAATACCGATACCAGTGCTAATTATGTTAACAAAATATATTTAGCCAATCTGATAAAAAAAAAAAAAAGAAAACAGTGGTCACTGTCAAATGATTCAAATTTCATTATTGACATAATTTGCAATAATTTGTTGAACAGAAACAAAACCAACAGTTTTTAAAGTTTGGCTTCTATTCTAAAAACCAAATGTCCAGTAGAAATTTGGGCAATCCTATGTTTGCAATATAACTTCACTGCCTGGGCAAATCTATATCATTCAGTAATAATCAGTAACAGCCAATTTTTTAAAACCAAGTCTCATGTCCTTGACTAGATTAAGGCACCTAGAAGCAGGGTCTTATTAAGGGGGGGGGGGAGGGGAACTGGGCTGCAATTTTTCACGGGTCCCAATATTAAAGGGGTCCCAATATTACAGGAGCCTCAAAATTTGTTCTAAAAAAACAAATTCTACAATTTTATGATTTTATTTATTATGTTATATATGTTTGGGCCAAATAAATCTATCTATCCATCATACTGACATACAAATAGCATTTGTGCGGGTGTGAGGGATAATGACCAGAATATGCCCTTTTTCACTGTTGATGCAAGGGCTCCGGTGATTTCAGCCAGGGGCCCCACGCAATTCTAATCCGGCAATTCTAATCTAGCCCAGGCACCTGCTTAGTAGATTGTTAATCCTGGTATTCTGCAGCATAGTTCATTACCGGTACTGACATTAGGCTTTAATTAGTTGAATAAAAAAAAATACCCCATTTCTTTTCATTATAGAGCCCAACTAATAACAGATTCTTATCGGACTCTGGATAGAGGCCAGAGACGATCATTAAGAATCCGTTACTAAAGTAACTACACTATTCCCTGTTAATAAACAACATTCGGACTCTTCGGATAAGTACTGGCAGGATTGTCACATGATCTACAGGTGTTTGCAAAAAAAAAAAATAATAAAAAACAGACCGATTCGTTCGCTTACCCTTCGACGACTTCAATTCTGGAATATTCTGAGCCCTCAATCTTTGGTCCAATATATAGACCATCTCCCCTCCCAGGTTTATAAAAAGTAAAGGCAGTGTTTTCATCGACATTTTGTTGAATATATGTGTAAGTCTTATCCTTGACAACTTTGCTTGCTTTCAGGTTTCCTCCACACTGTTTACATCTCCAATAATCTCGTCGCTGCTAAAGATAACTCTGCGAGATCTACAAAGTCAAGGTTGTAAATGGCGCTAGAAACGATTTTATCGGGTAACTGGATAGATATAGGACTCATTGGTAGTTTAACATTGATTGTCATCGTATACTTTAGAGAAAAATGGGACAATCTTTTCGCAGAGAAACCAAAGACACCGCCGACGCACAAAGGCTGGATTCCATGGCTTGGCCTTGCACTTGAATTTGGCAAAGGTCCGCTGCATTTCATCGACCGTAAACGAAAAGAGGTAAGAAATTCGTCTGCTAAGAAAAGCAAATCTCTTTCATCCAGTTCTACTAGATCTAGTGTGTCGAAAAAATTGACCCGAAAATATTTTTTTATTAAATTGAAGCACGTGAAGAATATTGGTTTATAAATTGAATCTAAAGATAAATAAACTTAAGATAAATAAACAGGAAAAAAGCTTTTTATAAGTCAGAAATTTATTATTCGTCTATTAAGTATTCGCGAAACGGATCTAAATGGTTATAAATATTTAGCGCTATGGCAGGACCCTTATATTTTTTCAGATTTTTTTTTAAAAAAAAAAACTTAACAAAAAAAAACATAATGCAACCTGCCCTATTCAGTTATGGTTTAAATAAAACATATAGGGGTACAAAATCATACAATACAACTCTCAACTGGAAACCATGTTTCGAGAAATTGTGGTATTTTTAGAGAGTGTCTATAGTGACAATGAAAAATATTGCTAGTAAGCGAAACCTTTATTAAAATCTTTTAGAAATATTGATAAGTACATTATATTTTAACGTTGTTGGGTTTTTTTCAGCTTGGCTCAGTGTTTTCTATCAAAGTTGCTGGTGAATATATGACTTTTTTAACGGACCCAAAAGACTTTCAGCATTTCTTTCTTTCGCCATGTTTAGATTTTCAAAAAGCTGTTCAAGGTCCGGTACAAAACGTCGGTAAGTAGAAATAAGCTATAAACTTTTAGATATACATTTGCCATGTCAACACTTTTCTTTATAACTTTCTTCAAATGAAATGGAATGAAAACGTTAAGTCAATAGTCTTCGAAACGTCGCCTAAATAAAGCAGTAATTGTTCTTCGATAAGTATGTGTTACAGTGTATTGCTCTATCCAGATACTAAATGCCTCTAAAAGATTATTAAGTCTACTTTTGGGTCACACTTTCACATTACATTCGATAATAAATAATTATACAAAGGTAAATGACCAATTCTAGAAAGTATATGTAGCGAACTGTTTCACAGATAAAGCCGTCCCCGGAAAAATAAAATCATATTACAAATAAAAACGTAGATACCATAAGTATGGGCCTAACAATTTGCCTACATCTTTGACATTTGTTTTGATCGATATGCATTCTTCATAGATCCGTTATTTGACCCATGTTTGAGTTTGATTAAGCATTAATATGCATGCCATTGGTTATCTTTTTTTAAATTTGACGATTGGCCGAATTTATTTTCCGCCTTTTAAAAAAAAAAAAAATTGTTGATTAATACAAGTTTGTTAGCAAGCAGAACTTGGTAAAATAGTTTTAAAACATTTAATTCTTTAAAAAAAATAAATGTGATTTCAAAAGTTTAATATGGAAACCGTTAGCGATGAGGTAACATCGTGCCTTTAAAAAAAATCAACAGGATAGCGCCAACTTTTTCAAAGATGAAAAAATGTCAAGTTAAAACTGCTGCATAATATTAGTCACTTACGATCACAATTTTATCTAGCCATATCAATATTTATTTTGGTAAAACAGCGTTTGATGTCATTACACGTTGTTACAGTATCACTTGCACTTTAGTATCTTATATATTATGTGGAATAAAACAGTAATTAATTTTATAACACGTAGCAAATAGGTGATATATGGTATCTTAAACTGGATAGTAATTATCTTTCTAGCCGTGCTACGTCACATATATTGGCAAGGGGGTATTATTAATTCTAACATGGCGGCATCTGCATTAATCAATTTATAAAGAAAATTCAGTCTGAAACTATTTTTATGATGATTTTAAATTTTATTTCAAATTTATATGCTGTGCATTAAATTAATGGGCTCAATTTTATTCTTCTAGCATCAATAACTAAAGAATCATTTTTCAAGTACCATAGCAGCATTCATGATTTAGTGAAAGGGAAATTGGCCCCATCCAATCTTTCACCATTGATGTCACATAAACTATACAAAGAATTTGAGGAACAGCTTGGAAAACTCCCATCGCATGGTAAGTATTGTCCAATTTTCTTTTCTTTTATTTTTTTTTAAAGAAAAATTCCGAAGTTGAATAGAATACTGCATTAATAAAGTAACTCAGGTCAAAAATGAAATAAGGAACATAGAATTGTACGCTAATATTTTCTTTTCGTTGGCAGGTAAAATGGATCTGAACAGATTAATAAGAACCATTATGTATAAATCGGTACTTAATATCGTTTTTGGAAAAAATATTCTCCCCACCGACAATGACGTAAGTATATTAAAAACAAATTTATCATCTGATATTAGTTTTAAGAAAGCCTATTAAGGTCGGCTTATTGTCATGTAACCCCGACTGGACTAATTAAGACAGGCAGGCGAATAAAGCATACCACAATATGATGACAGCTATAACCTAAAATAATTTTCTGAAACTTTCAAACCCCCACCTTCCAATAAAATTATACAATAAAAGGTTCACACTTTCTTCTTTTTCAGGAACAATACCAAATACTGGAAGAGCACTTTACAAAATTTGATCGTCAAATTGAATATGGTTCTAAATTGCCTGCGTTTGTACTGGGGTAAGTATATATTTGAAAAAGTATGGTAGAATAAAACGTTGTACTAATTTTTTTGTATGCTCCCGTGTACAGAGGTACAAATTGGCGAGCACTTAAAAGTTCCCTTAACAGTTGGAATTCGATGTAAGAGTAGGCCGTGGTGCCTCTGTCCGGGGAAATTTTCCCTCATAGCACACTGTATGATGTATGCCCGTCTTCATTAACTCAGTTCGGAGCAGGACAGTAGGACGTTAAACCCCATTTCATTTCATACGCTTTTATTCACGATTGGTAATTTTTCTGTTTCAGTGCCTGGTCAAAATCAAGAAAATATCTTATTACTATGTTTCAAAATATTGTTGATCCGGAAAAACAAAAATCACAAGAGTTATGCCCAGATGATAAGGTAATTATTTTTCTTGGGTGCTTGGGTGATCTGTTTTTAGTAAGCCAAACATTGCCTTTTGTCCAAAAAAAAAGACCCCATTAAAAAGGACGATGAGCAAAGACAAAAGTAGTGATTGTATGGCCTACAAAACATTGTTCAATCATAAAAACCATGTGTGTGAATTGGATAATGTTAATTTTGTGCATTTTTTATTTTTTCAGACATTGCTTCATAATTTACTAGAATGTGTCGACATAGAAAATGCCCCGAATTATTCTGTTCTGCTCTTATGGGCAACTTTAGCTAATAGTATTCCAGTAAGTGAATTTACTTTTCTTAAATTATAGAATTTCATTTTGAACAGAAATATTTCTGCATTCCACCAAATGAATAATGTCTTGTTGCAAGTAGAAAAAAAAAAAATCTCGTCCACCTTACATTAATTCGTTATTACATGAATCAGCTGAAATTCCTCATACCCCACAGGACTACTTTATAACACGCTTTCTGCATTAGTGTATATTTTATAGGTTATCAACCACCTTTGTTTATTATATGATTTGCGTCAAACAATATACGTCACGAATCATGACAATGACGAAATGTATAGTGCTTTATTTCAATATAATCACACAGTTGACTCACAACGAACGTAACCTAGCAATACACGGTAAATGTCAGCATTTCTTTCAATAATCTTAGGATAATTGAGGCAGTAAACTAAATGTCCTATTTATACATGTAATCACCCGTATTGATTTTTGTCATTCACAAGAGTAATAATTATATTCCTGTTTACACCAGTGACTCATTGTGCATTAGTAATGTAGAATGAAATATATTTGATTAAAGGTGCTAAAACGTAAAGAATAAAATAACTTAAAGGAATCTGGCCCCACCTCCCAAATATTGTCATGAAATACCTTACAAGTAAGGTGCTCCTGCAGTTGGAATCTGAAATCCATAAAACAAAAGCCCTCCGTTTGTACACCAAACGTGATGTACATAAGCAGCTATAGACTTCGTAGAAATTGGCTACTAATCTTTACAAAAAAGCCGCTGTCGGGGCATATTGAAAGTTCCCGGTTGTCAGAATATGCAAATTATGCATCTTGGTTCGAAATACAAACAGCAATATTATTTAAAAAAATATTTGTTTTATTTGTAGATGGTATTTTGGACAATAGCATTTATTGTTACACAAGAATCAGTCTATAAAAAAGTATGTGAAGAAATAGAGAGAGAACTACCGTCCACGTTTGAAACAAGTACGTAAATGTCCCACGAACACAACCAGAGAGAAATGAAATGAAATGAAATGGGGTTTAACGTCCTACTGTTCTGCTACTATGCTGGGCTAATGAAGACGGGCATACGCCATACAGTGTGCTATGAGGGAAATTTTGCCAGGGCAGCGGCACTATCGCCCACTCTTATATCGAATTCCAACTGCCAAGGGCTCTTTTACGTGCATTCTAATGTATACACGGTACCTCGGTTTTTCGTATCATCCGAAGGACTAGACAGCTGTCCGTGTCAGGCCCTCGGTCCTGCATCGCTGACAAAGGGGGAAATCTGGATGAACTTTCTCGGCCAATGCAGGGATCGAACACCCGACGTCCAGGCTAGCGACCCAGCGTCTTACCCACTTAGCCATGTGATCCCCCACAACCAGAGAGAACAAGTTTTTTTTAATTAAGGCGGCGTAAGCCAAGATGAGGATGTCCTCTCTGTAAATTTAGCCACTTTTACACTTTCTTTAGCACGATCTTCGTGGCACTAGGACATATTCATTCTTGTACCCATCACCTTCGGGATGTGGGAGATTTAACGCCATACGGCAGTAACAGGCCGAACGAACACACATAATCTGTAACAATTCAGTTCAGGGAAAAGGGCTTTATCAGTGAAAGGACACATTTCTCTAACACCAGATCATTAGGTTTTTAAATGATTGTGACCAGCGATGGACGTGCGGGAACCTAGCCTTGATAAAGTTATTATTTTAATCTTTCTCGTTATGTGTCAGTTCATAAAAAAAGACAAAGTACTCAATACGTCCTAGCGGTGTCACCTGGTAAAGTGGTATAGAAATGAAATGAAATAGGGTTTAACGTCCTACTGTTCCGCTCCGACTGGGATAATAAAGACCCTGACCAGTAAAGAGTCTTGCTTCTGATGAATTCACAAAATGATTCTGTGCGTCTTAAAGCTCCCTTGAGATTTGTTAAAGCGGTGAAATGACACTGAATTGCAAACGCCCATCTTAAAGATACATTTTATGTACGATTTAGATAAAGAGCTGACCGTTCTTGCTATAATAGTTCAAAAATAGATATTGTAACCACGGTATTCATATATTCGAGACTTAACCCCGCTCCTCCATTTTTGAATTAAATCATTAAATGGCCAATCCGTTCTAATCTTGTTAAAATCTCAAGCATTCGATGGCATCGAGAGTTGGTTATGGTCTTGTCATGTTAATAAATGTCTAATTAGTGATTAATATAACGTTTAAGGCTTGAGGAAAAACCTGCAACCGGCAAATTTAGCTCTTGAATAACGTATTTTTAAGACATTTATACTAAAAATAAATCGATTGCTTATTCACTGAATATTGTTTTTTTTTCTAGTTTCAGATGCAGATTTACGAAAATTGCCATATTTAAAAAGCTGTATTCTGGAAACAGTAAGATTAAGATCACCAGGAATTATACCACGTTATGTTACCAAACCATTTGAAGTGAAGGTAAATTACAAAAATTTCAGATCGGATCTTAATATTGGGATTTCTACCAGCGGCCATCAGTTTTGCAATCTGTTACTGTAAACAGACAAATTGCAGTGTATGCTATTATTTATGGGTGATGGTAAAATACCCTCCGCAAAGAGAAGATTCTTTGTATTAGTGTAGCAAACCGAGTGATCACACTGAACTGTTGCAAGACATATTTCACTTGCCCAGTAATAATTTACTTTAACATTAATGCCTTTGAAATCAGTCATCTTATACGTTAGTATTATATTGATTGTTACATGGCTATGTTTCTTAATTACAGGGGTACACAGTGCCAGCCGGAAATCTCGTTTTTGCCTCACCGTTTTGGGCTCACAGAAATCCAGAGTATTATCCAGATCCAGAAACACATAAACCTGTAAGTCAATTATTTGTTCATCCATACTTATATTTTGCCGTAAACTCGGCTATCATAACCTTGGCTGACACAGATAGATTTCAATACAACCCGAAGAAAACCCACGAGGTTGGACAGGCGACCCTACTCCTTATCAGGTACAAGCGGGGAATCGAAACCATGCCACTTGACTCAATGACAGACATTACGGTTTAACGCGCTCCCGTTAAATCATTCGGCCACCCACATCTTTATAGAAAGAAGTCGAACGAAAAATTCAATTATTTATTTTTTTTTTTTAGCTAAATATAGCTAATTATCTGCCGTTATAGACCTTCGTGTTTATTTCGTTATGCCATAATTCTATTTTCAGGAAAGATGGAATATGAAAGATGTTGAAAGAAACATTTTCCCAGAATATTTTTTTGCCTTTGGTGGTGGAAGGTTTCAGTGCCCAGGAAGGTGCGTTATGTTTAATATCAACTTTTATAAAATCAAAATTAAGAGATAACTTTTGTTCTTATTTGCCACTCATCTGCTTAGGTTAGGTGTGTAATATATTTGTTAACATGTATGGTGGTCTTAGTAGCTTTTGTTTGCTATGAAATGTGTTTTAGCTTGTATAATAGGTTGTAAATTAATTATTTTGGGGGGATGAAACTACAGTATTCACTATGCCGTTAGACATTACACACAATACTCGTCGTTTGAACATTTATGAGTTTTTTTTAAAAAAATATATATACTTATATATTTAATAAACGGCCATGTATATATTCCAGGTGGTTTGGTTTAATGGAGATACAAATATTCGCCATAATGTTTTTAAAACAATTCAAATGTGAAGCATTTGACCCAGTTCCTCCTCCGGTAAGTAAATACGTCGATACTATGTTCATTTTTGATAAGGAATACTTGCCTCAGTGCCGAATTAACCTTGTGGGGGGGGGGGGACATACCAACTGTGCGGGGTCCCATTGTTGTTTGTTCAAATTGTTCGTATTGACCGCGGATCGTACTAGTATACTATGATTACGTTAATTTCCCGGGACTGGTTGGGCCCCAGCAATCACATCGCGGGATGGGGTCCCCGGAACTGGTTAGGACCTATTGATTGGTAGAACCTCTAAGTTATGTAATTTAGTTAATTTTAGGGCCTAACCGATCTCTGGGCCCCCGAAAATCTGTTGGTACCTACCAGTCCCGGGACCCCCCAATATCCCTTACTACCCAGGGCCCCAGTCCTTGCACCCTCAGCCCAGGTACTGGTTGGCTCCGTCCCGGATAAAATATTAGAATGACCCAGAATTGTGGTAGCCCCTAAATGTGTCCCACTTTGCCCCCCCCCCCCTAGATTAGGTACTGACTTGCCCTACGAAAATCATATACAGGGCTGAACGTGATTGTGTATAGGTCATGCCATTAATTAAAACTAAAAAAAACATCCGTATCAAATCCCAGTGAGTAACGCGCTGGATCACTAACCATGTGCATGAATTCCGGGGTTCGATCCGCGGTGTTGACCGAGAAAGGAAGACCTGGCAAGGAACGGGATTTAGTCTACGCCATGGCGTGCACGTGAAATAACCCTTGATATTTGTTATTCAATTGCTGTCCTGGCAATATTCTCTTATAGCACACTGCACGGCGCATGTCCGTCTTCATTATCCCTGCCGGAGCAGAACAGTAGTGCGTCAAACGCCACTTCATTCATTCATTCGTTTAAAATAAAAAGGTAGCAACTGACCCTTTATTTATTGTATCTTACCACAAAAGAATGAAAATAACCAGTAGACTTCACGCCCGATGATGTTGTCGGTCTGGCTTGAGGTCATATATTCATCATAATAGTCTCCAGATAACCTAATTAATTCACCATGAAAAGATCCACGCAGTCATTTCCTATATTGTGCATTCTTTCTATTTTAGAGTCCTCTTCATGCTGTTGGAACGCAGCAACCAGAAGGTCCATGTATGATTGAGTTTACTCGATTACCCGGAAAATGTTGAATCTGAGCTGTATATTTTTATAATACTGATACATTTCATCTCGATCATAATTCATGTTATTTATTCATCAAAGTCCATAAATCATTATGTTATTACACTACATGTTCACTACCAAAGTTATTACATATATCATTATATTGTATTGTTGAACGAATCTTATTTATATATAAATATATATTATATATTCCTTTGTAAATGATTTATAAATAATTGTTATATAACTAACTAGTCAATATTTATTAGTGTATGAATATATAATATGTACGGTATTCACTGTTATTATATTTAACCTTGCATTTATTAAATAGAAAATTGTGTATATATATATATATCATATATGACAAAAGGATGTATGTCTTGTGTATATATGAACTGAGGTTAGAGTCTCGTTATTTATTGATGGTCAACATGTATGAACATTTCAAAACTTGTGTAATAATATTTACGGGAGACATTTGTCGCAGCATATTTTTTAAAACATACAATATGGAACTTAAATTATATTATTGAAACACGTTATTGAAACACATTATTGAACCGTAAAATGACTATCATATATATTGTTTGAAGAAAATATATATCTTTACTAAAATGGGATATATAAGTGTTAGATAGTTATTGCATACATATTATTATACATTGCCAATTTTAATTTAGCGTATGTTTAAATCGTGATTATATAATAAAGTGATAAAGTATTGTATACTTGGTGAATTATGTTGATCATAATAATATTATGTAAATAATCTAGTTGTTAATTCCATATTTATGAATATAGTCTGTTATTGTTTGCCTTATTTGTTTTCTGAAATACTGTTGTTGTTTAGATGGTTTTACCATTAATTGTACATTTGACTACACGTTAATTAAACAAAGCAAAAACTTAAAGACTTACTGGGTTCAGTTTGTTAACATGACGTTTTTGGGTTGTTTTTTTTTTTATCTGGGGCATTGCCACTTAAAGTATTTATGTTTTGATACCATATTTTGGTGCCATGGTGGTGGTAGGGTTGGAATACTGATACACGAATTTAGTGGGTCAAGAATAACCTTGGGAATTTCTCTACCTGAATTTCTCTTTGGTTAGGGTCAGGGGCGTAAATGTGGGGGGTTTGTGGGGGGGGGGGGGGTACACCCCCCCAGGAAAAAAAATAGTCGGTCGCAAAATCAGTGCAGTCGGTCGCAAAATAAGAGCAGTCGGTATCAAAATAAGTGCTCACTGCACACGTCACGCTACTCACGCAAAACTTTAGTATAAAATAACCTTGTCAACTTATGTTTGAAAAATGATGTGTTTCACTCTTATTCTGTTGTGAGTATGTAGGTCTAAGAACAAAATTTCCCCCAGGTAGAAAAATAGTCGGTCTCAAAATAAGTGCAGCCACTGCAGTCGGTCTCAAAATTATTCATCGCCGTCTTAATGAATTAATGAGGTAAACAAATAATGCCAGAATAGATCCCAAATACTAGTCGGTCGCAAAATCAGTGCAGTCGGTCGTAAGATATGAGCAGTCGGTATAAAAATAAGTGCTCACTGCACACGTCACTCTACTCACGCAAAACTTTAGTATAAAATAACCTTGTCAACTTATCATGTTTGAAAAAAATGTTTTTCACCCCATGGCAAAAAAATAGTCGGTCTCAAAAAAAGTGCTCACCGCAGTCGGTCTCAGACTAAATGAATTAATGGGGTGTTTTCTGACCATCAGAATTCTGCAAAATCTCTCCCCAAAGTCCAGAGCATTTCAGAGACCAAGTAAGCGCCCCATTGAGGTAAAGTGCCCTCAGGCCCAGTCCTCAAAAAATAAAAGCTCAGTTATACATATCGGCGCTCAATTCCGTTATGCCATCATCATTCTTCAACTCCTTCTCTGTCTTATACTATCTCATTACTATCAAATTCACAGTTACAGTGAATCGCCCAGTTAGTAGTACCACTAGTGAGTGAGTCGTGGTTAAAAAGACTGTAGAATTGTTAGTTCTACTCTCACAAAACAGGCGACATTGACAGATAGGCCTCAAGATTCTGTCCCATTTCTTATCCTCTCGTTAACGAGAATTTGGATCCATTTGCCATGACATTGAATAAAATTGTCAGGCCCAGTCCCAAAAATTAAAAGCTCGGTTACACATCTGAAATTTTTTCGCGCCTGCGGCGCTCGATTCCATTATAACATCATTGTTCCACTCCTCTGTTGTCTTATACTGTCTCAGCACTATCATATTCACGGTTATACCGATCTGCCTAGTTATGTTAGTAGTACCACTGGCACTGGTGTGTGGGTCGTGGGGCGCGAGGCTGTACAAAAGTTCTGTCAACTCTTGCAAAACAGGCGGAATTGATAGGGGCAAAACTCGATATTTTGTCTAATTGACTCACATTTCTGGTCCTCTCGTCCACAAGAATTTCTCCAAGCAATGACCTCAAATGCCAAGATATTGAATCAATATTTCAAAATTTTCTCAGGTTGCTCAGTGTTATAGGCACAATCATATATGACATAAACTTTATGTCAACTTAAATAAAACTGATTTCCAGCGAGACAACGATCGGCAAACAACTATATAATTATACAATACCACCTATGTTCTACCGGGACGCTTAATGTTATAGCCAGTATTTTGTTGACATTCATTGTGGGGTGGAATTGTGGCTGGGGTGGCGCCCTAGATTTGGACCCCCCCCCCCCCCTCAATCTAGATCCGCTACTGCACAGGGCCCCTACAAAACTCGCACCTGTGAGGCTCGGCTCCTGACTAGGGGCATGGGCATCAGTCGGTCGCATTTTGGCTAAACACCCCCCCCCCCCAAACAAAATCGTTATGTACGCCCCTGGTTAGGGTACTGCCCGCATGGTACACAAGGAAAGTGTGTTTCGTATAATAGTAAATATCCGAAACGTTTGTATATGTGGGGCCAATATGGTATCCATATGGGATTACTTATTTGTATGTATAAGTTTATTATTGAATCCATAGTTTTAGTTTTGTGAACCAATCTGCACAGAAAGGATTACATGTGCACCAGAAGCTTATGTGGTATGGATATGATATAACCACATTCATGTATATTATGTATATGGGTTCAATATGGTATCAATATGGGATTACCCACATGTGTATCTGGGGCCAATATCTTATCTATATGGCATCTACCACATATAAAATAATACATCTGGGTCCAATATTTTACCCATATGGGATTAGTCGCACTTGTATCGGCTTCAATGTGGAATCATACCCATTGCATTTAGTAGATATTAATAAGTATTCAGAAAATTAAAATCAGAATGTCATTAATGTGTTTATTTGGGATATGTTAAACTTATTGCGCCCTCAACAGTTGTATTTACATGACAAGTAAACAGTCGCACATACAGGTGCGATTTACATTAAACCATGTTACAACTACACAGATTTGTTAAAGAGCATAAGAATTTTTACAGGTATGGTCTTTTTGCAATTTCTTTATTGATCTACTTTACTTAAAAATATTTTCAATTTCCCATTTCTCCTTCATTAAAATTTAATGTTTTCGCTTAATTAAACATAAACATTATGCAAGAGCTAAATCTGACTATTGCAGGTCTTTCTTTAGGTCTGAAATGTCATATAAACTATTAATTAGACATTTATTAAAAAGACCATAATCAACGCCTTCGATGGCATCTTATGGGTCCGAATTTCATTAGATTTGAATCCGATTTTCTGTCCAACGCCCTTGATTAACCGCAAAAATGGATAATCAAGTCTTCTTTATATTATCGTAACAGCGGTAAAAATGACAATCGAGGCTACTGTGTATATGAATCAGATTGAAGCAATTTCACTGAAATTTTCGACATTTCCCATTTACATTATAATCCGTTTTTTATCTATAATATATTGTCAGCTCTTTATTTAATCTTCCATAATGTATCTTTAAGTCAAACAATTTCAGGGCAGGTAACCTAACAGGTTACCGCAAAGGTTGTCTGGAAATTATTTGTAGCAACCTAGATGTATTAATGATGAGACCGTCTTTGTATGTAACATGTAGGAACTGAGAAGTAAGAGATTAGAATTTAATAAAATTGAGAAATGAAGTCTTTTTTCTTTGTTTTAATTTATAATATTGAACATGAACATAACTTTGTAACACAGGGATCACGAACAGGGGTCAATGGCACAAAATTCTTGAATTAACAATGTTTCTTTTTTTTTTTTTTAAAGAAAAATTCCGAAGTTGAATAGAATACTGCATTAATAAAGTAACTCAGGTCAAAAATGAAATAAGGAACATAGAATTGTACGATAATGTTTTCTTTTCGTTGGCAGGTAAAATGGATCTGAACAGATTAATAAGAACCATTATGTATAAATCGGTACTTAATATCGTTTTTGGAAAAAATATTCTCCCCACCGACAATGACGTAAGTATATTAAAAACAAATTTATCATCTGATATTAGTTTTAAGAAAGCCTATTAAGGTCGGCTTATTGTCATGTAACCCCGACTGGACTAATTAAGACAGGCAGGCGAATAAAGCATACCACAATATGATGACAGCTATAACCTAAAATAATTTTCTGAAACATTCAAACCCCCACCTTCCAATAAAATTATACAATAAAAGGTTCACACTTTCTTCTTTTTCAGGAACAATACCAAATACTGGAAGAGCACTTTACAAAATTTGATCGTCAAATTGAATATGGTTCTAAATTGCCTGCATTTGTACTGGGGTAAGTATATATTTGAAAAAGTATGGTAGAATAAAACGTTGTACTAATTTTTTTGTATGCTCCCGTGTACAGAGGTACAAATTGGCGAGCACTTAAAAGTTCCCTTAACAGTTGGAATTCGATGTAAGAGTAGGCCGTGGTGCCTCTGTCCGGGGAAATTTTCCCTCATAGCACACTGTATGACGTATGCCCGTCTTCATTAACTCAGTTCGGAGCAGGACAGTAGGACGTTAAACCCCATTTCATTTCATACGCTTTTATTCACGATTGGTAATTTTTCTGTTTCAGTGCCTGGTCAAAATCAAGAAAATATCTTATTACTATGTTTCAAAATATTGTTGATCCGGAAAAACAAAAATCACAAGAGTTATGCCCAGATGATAAGGTAATTATTTTTCTTGGGTGCTTGGGTGATCTGTTTTTAGTAAGCCAAACATTGCCTTTTGTCCAAAAAAAAAGACCCCATTAAAAAGGACGATGAGCAAAGACAAAAGTAGTGATTGTATGGCCTACAAAACATTGTTCAATCATAAAAACCATGTGTGTGAATTGGATAATGTTAATTTTGTGCATTTTTTATTTTTTCAGACATTGCTTCATAATTTACTAGAGTGTGTCGACATAGAAAATGCCCCGAATTATTCTGTTCTGCTCTTATGGGCAACTTTAGCTAATAGTATTCCAGTAAGTGAATTTACTTTTCTTAAATTATAGAATTTCATTTTGAACAGAAATATTTCTGCATTCCACCAAATGAATAATGTCTTGTTGCAAGTAGAAAAAAAAAAAATCTCGTCCACCTTACATTAATTCGTTATTACATGAATCAGCTGAAATTCCTCATACCCCACAGGACTACTTTATAACACGCTTTCTGCATTAGTGTATATTTTATAGGTTATCAACCACCTTTGTTTATTATATGATTTGCGTCAAACAATATACGTCACGAATCATGACAATGACGAAATGTATAGTGCTTTATTTCAATATAATCACACAGTTGACTCACAACGAACGTAACCTAGCAATACACGGTAAATGTCAGCATTTCTTTCAATAATCTTAGGATAATTGAGGCAGTAAACTAAATGTCCTATTTATACATGTAATCACCCGTATTGATTTTTGTCATTCACAAGAGTAATAATTATATTCCTGTTTACACCAGTGACTCATTGTACATTAGTAATGTAGAATGAAATATATTTGATTAAAGGTGCTAAAACGTAAAGAATAAAATAACTTAAAGGCATCTGGCCCCACCTCCCAAATATTGTCATGAAATACCTTACAAGTAAGGTGCTCCTGCAGTTGGAATCTGAAATCCATAAAACAAAAGCCCTCCGTTTGTACACCAAACGTGATGTACAGAAGCAGCTATAGAATTCGTAGAAATTGGCTACTAATCTTTGCACTTTACAAAAAAGCCGCTGTCGGTGCACATTGAAAGTTCCTGGTTGTCAGAATATGCAAATTATGCATCTTGGTTCGAAATACAAACAGCAATATTATTTAAAAAAATATTTGTTTTATTTGTAGATGGTATTTTGGACAATAGCATTTATTGTTACACAAGAATCAGTCTATAAAAAAGTATGTGAAGAAATAGAGAGAGAACTACCGTCCACGTTTGAAACAAGTACGTAAATGTCCCACGAACACAACCAGAGAGAAATGAAATGAAATGAAATGGGGTTTAACGTCCTACTGTTCTGCTACTATGCTGGGCTAATGAAGACGGGCATACGCCATACAGTGTGCTATGAGGGAAATTTTGCCAGGGCAGCGGCACTATCGCCCACTCTTATATCGAATTCCAACTGCCAAGGGCTCTTTTACGTGCATTCTAATGTATACACGGTACCTCGGTTTTTCGTCTCATCCGAAGGACTAGACAGCTGTCCGTGTCAGGCCCTCCGTCCTGCATCACTGACAAGGGGGAAATCTGGATGAACTTTCTCGGCCAATGCAGGGATCGAACACCCGACGTCCAGGCTAGCGACCCAGCGTCTTACCCACTTAGCCATGTGATCCCCCACAACCAGAGAGAACAAGTTTTTTTAATTAAGGCGGCGTAGGCCAAGATGAGGATGTCCTCTCTGTAAATTTAGCCACTTTTACACTTTCTTTAGCACGATCTTCGTGGCACTAGGACATATTCATTCTTGTACCCATCACCTTCGGGATGTGGGAGATTTAACGCCATACGGCAGTAACAGGCCGAACGAACACACATAATCTGTAACAATTCAGTTCAGGGAAAAGGGCTTTATCAGTGAAAGGACACATTTCTCTAACACCAGATCATTAGGTTTTTAAATGATTGTGACCAGCGATGGACGTGCGGGAACCTAGCCTTGATAAAGTTATTATTTTAATCTTTCTCGTTATGTGTCAGTTCATAAAAAAAGACAAAGTACTCAATACGTCCTAGCGGTGTCACCTGGTAAAGTGGTATAGAAATGAAATGAAATAGGGTTTAACGTCCTACTGTTCCGCTCCGACTGGGATAATAAAGACCTTGACCAGTAAAGAGTCTTGCTTCTGATGAATTCACAAAATGATTCTGTGCGTCTTAAAGCTCCCTTGAGATTTGTTAAAGCGGTGAAATGACACTGAATTGCAAACGCCCATCTTAAAGATACATTTTATGTACGATTTAGATAAAGAGCTGACCGTTCTTGCTATAATAGTTCAAAAATAGATATTGTAACCACGGTATTCATATATTCGAGACTTAACCCCGCTCCTCCATTTTTGAATTAAATCATTAAATGGCCAATCCGTTCTAATCTTGTTAAAATCTCAAGCATTCGATGGCATCGAGAGTTGGTTATGGTCTTGTCATGTTAATAAATGTCTAATTAGTGATTAATATAACGTTTAAGGCTTGAGGAAAAACCTGCAACCGGCAAATTTAGCTCTTGAATAACGTATTTTTAAGACATTTATACTAAAAATAAATCGATTGCTTATTCACTGAATATTGTTTTTTTTTCTAGTTTCAGATGCAGATTTACGAAAATTGCCATATTTAAAAAGCTGTATTCTGGAAACAGTAAGATTAAGATCACCAGGAATTATACCACGTTATGTTACCAAACCATTTGAAGTGAAGGTAAATTACAAAAATTTCAGATCGGATCTTAATATTGGGATTTCTACCAACGGCCATCAGTTGTTGCAATCTGTTACTGTAAACAGACAAATTGCAGTGTATGCTATTATTTATGGGTGATGGTAAAATACCCTCCGCAAAGAGAAGATTCTTTGTATTAGTGTAGCAAACCGAGTGATCACACTGAACTGTTGCAAGACATATTTCACTTGCCCAGTAATAATTTACTTTAACATTAATGCCTTTGAAATCAGTCATCTTATACGTTAGTATTCTATTGATTGTTACATGGCTATGTTTCTTAATTACAGGGGTACACAGTGCCAGCCGGAAATCTCGTTTTTGCCTCACCGTTTTGGGCTCACAGAAATCCAGAGTATTATCCAGATCCAGAAACACATAAACCTGTAAGTCAATTATTTGTTCATCCATACTTATATTTTGCCGTAAACTCGGCTATCATAACCTTGGCTGACACAGATAGATTTCAATACAACCCGAAGAAAACCCACGAGGTTGGACAGGCGACCCTACGCCTTATCAGGTACAAGCGGGGAATCGAAACCATGCCACTTGACTCAATGACAGACATTACGGTTTAACGCGCTCCCGTTAAATCATTCGGCCACCCACATCTTTATAGAAAGAAGTCGAACGAAAAATTCAATTATTTATTTATTTTTTTTAGCTAAATATAGCTAATTATCTGCCGTTATAGACCTTCGTGTTTATTTCGTTATGCCATAATTCTATTTTCAGGAAAGATGGAATATGAAAGATGTTGAAAGAAACATTTTCCCAGAATATTTTTTTGCCTTTGGTGGTGGAAGGTTTCAGTGCCCAGGAAGGTTCGTTATGTTTAATATCAACTTTTATAAAATCAAAATTAAGAGATAACTTTTGTTCTTATTTGCCACTCATCTGCTTAGGTTAGGTGTGTAATATATTTGTTAACATGTATGGTGGTCTTAGTAGCTTTTGTTTGCTATGAAATGTGTTTTAGCTTGTATAATAGGTTGTAAATTAATTATTTTGGGGGGATGAAACTACTGCAGTATTCACTATGCCGTTAGACATTACACACAATACTCGGTCGTTTGAACATTTATGAGTTTTTTAAAAAAATATATATACTTATATATTTAATAAACGGCCATGTATATATTCCAGGTGGTTTGGTTTAATGGAGATACAAATATTCGCCATAATGTTTTTAAAACAATTCAAATGTGAAGCATTTGACCCAGTTCCTCCTCCGGTAAGTAAATACGTCGATACTATGTTCATTTTTGATAAGGAATACTTGCCCCAGTGCCGAATTAACCTTGTTGGGGGGGGGGGGGGCGGGACATACCAACTGTGCGGGGTCCCATTGTTGTTTGTTCAAATTGTTCGTATTGACCGCGGATCGTACTAGTATACTATGATTACGTTAATTTCCCGGGACTGGTTGGGCCCCAGCAATCACATCGCGGGATGGGGTCCCCGGAACTGGTTAGGACCTATTGATTGGTAGAACCTCTAAGTTATGTAATTTAGTTAATTTTAGGGCCTAACCGATCTCTGGGCCCCCGAAAATCTGTTGGTACCTACCAGTCCAGGGACCCCCAATATCCCTTACTACCCAGGGCCCCAGTCCTTGCACCCTCAGCCCAGGTACTGGTTGGCTCCGTCCCGGATAAAATATTAGTATGACCCAGAATTGTGGTAGCCCCTAAATGTGTCCCACTTTGCCCCCCCCCCCCCCCACCTAGATTAGGTACTGACTTGCCCTACGAAAATCATATACAGGGCTGAACGTGATTGTGTATAGGTCATGCCATTAATTAAAACTAAAAAAACCATCCGTATCAAATCCCAGTGAGTAACGCGCTGGATCACTAACCATGTGCATGAATTCCGGGATTCGATCCGCGGTGTTGACCGAGAAAGGAAGACCTGGCAAGGAACGGGATTTAGTCTACGCCATGGCGTGCACGTGAAATAACCCTTGATATTTGTTATTCAATTGCTGTCCTGGCAATATTCTCTTATAGCACACTGCACGGCGCATGTCCGTCTTCATTATCCCTGCCGGAGCAGAACAGTAGTGCGTCAAACGCCACTTCATTCATTCATTCGTTTAAAATAAAAAGGTAGCAACTGACCCTTTATTTATTGTATCTTACCACAAAAGAATGAAAATAACCAGTAGACTTCACGCCCGATGATGTTGTCGGCCTGGCTTGAGGTCATATATTCATCATAATAGTCTCCAGATAACCTAATTAATTCATCTTGAAAAGATCCACGCAGTCATTTCCTATATTGTGCATTCTTTCTATTTTAGAGTCCTCTTCATGCTGTTGGAACGCAGCAACCAGAAGGTCCATGTATGATTGAGTTTACTCGATTACCCGGAAAATGTTGAATCTGAGCTGTATATTTTTATAATACTGATACATTTCATCTCGATCATAATTCATGTTATTTATTCATCAAAGTCCATAAATCATTATGTTATTACACTACATGTTCACTACCAAAGTTATTACATATATCATTATATTGTATTGTTGAACGAATCTTATTTATATATAAATATATATTATATATTCCTTTGTAAATGATTTATAAATAATTGTTATATAACTAACTAGTCAATATTTATTAGTGTATGAATATATAATATGTACGGTATTCACTGTTATTATATTTAACCTTGCATTTATTAAATAGAAAATTGTGTATATATATATATATCATATATGACAAAAGGATGTATGTCTTGTGTATATATGAACTGAGGTTAGAGTCTCGTTATTTATTGATGGTCAACATGTATGAACATTTCAAAACTTGTGTAATAATATTTACGGGAGACATTTGTCGCAGCATATTTTTTAAAACATACAATATGGAACTTAAATTATATTATTGAAACACGTTATTGAAACACATTATTGAACCGTAAAATGACTATCATATATATTGTTTGAAGAAAATATATATCTTTACTAAAATGGGATATATAAGTGTTAGATAGTTATTGCATACATATTATTATACATTGCCAATTTTAATTTAGCGTATGTTTAAATCGTGATTATATAATAAAGTGATAAAGTATTGTATACTTGGTGAATTATGTTGATCATAATAATATTATGTAAATAATCTAGTTGTTAATTCCATATTTATGAATATAGTCTGTTATTGTTTGCCTTATTTGTTTTCTGAAATACTGTTGTTGTTTAGATGGTTTTACCATTAATTGTACATTTGACTACACGTTAATTAAACAAAGCAAAAACTTAAAGACTTACTGGGTTCAGTTTGTTAACATGACGTTTTTGGGTTGTTTTTTTTTTATCTGGGGCATTGCCACTTAAAGTATTTATGTTTTGATACCATATTTTGGTGCCATGGTGGTGGTAGGGTTGGAATACTGATACACGAATTTAGTGGGTCAAGAATAACCATGGGAATTTCTCTACCTGAATTTCTCTTTGGTTAGGGTCAGGGGCGTAAATGTGGGGGGTTTGTGGGGGGGGGGGTACACCCCCCCAGGAAAAAAAATAGTCGGTCGCTAAATCAGTGCAGTCGGTCGCAAAATAAGAGCAGTCGGTATCAAAATAAGTGCTCACTGCACACGTCACGCTACTCACGCAAAACTTTAGTATAAAATAACCTTGTCAACTTATGTTTGAAAAATGATGTGTTTCACTCTTATTCTGTTGTGAGTATGTAGGTCTAAGAACAAAATTTCCCCCAGGTAGAAAAATAGTCGGTCTCAAAATAAGTGCAGCCACTGCAGTCGGTCTCAAAATTATTCATCGCCGTCTTAATGAATTAATGAGGTAAACAAATAATGCCAGAATAGATCCCAAATACTAGTCGGTCGCAAAATCAGTGCAGTCGGTCGTAAGATATGAGCAGTCGGTATAAAAATAAGTGCTCACTGCACACGTCACTCTACTCACGCAAAACTTTAGTATAAAATAACCTTGTCAACTTATCATGTTTGAAAAAAATGTTTTTCACCCCATGGCAAAAAAATAGTCGGTCTCAAAAAAAGTGCTCACCGCAGTCGGTCTCAGACTAAATGAATTAATGGGGTGTTTTCTGACCATCAGAATTCTGCAAAATCTCTCCCCAAAGTCCAGAGCATTTCAGAGACCAAGTAAGCGCCCCATTGAGGTAAAGTGCCCTCAGGCCCAGTCCTCAAAAATTAAAAGCTCAGTTATACATATCGGCGCTCAATTCCGTTATGCCATCATCATTCTTCAACTCCTTCTCTGTCTTATACTATCTCATCACTATCATATTCACAGTTACAGTGAATCGCCCAGTTAGTAGTACCACTAGTGAGTGAGTCGTGGTTAAAAAGACTGTAGAATTGTTAGTTCTACTCTCACAAAACAGGCGACATTGACAGATAGGCCTCAAGATTCTGTCCCATTTCTTATCCTCTCGTTAACGAGAATTTGGATCCATTTGCCATGACATTGAATAAAATTGTCAGGCCCAGTCCCAAAAATTAAAAGCTCGGTTACACATCTGAAATTTTTTCGCGCCTGCGGCGCTCGATTCCATTATAACATCATTGTTCCACTCCTCTGTTGTCTTATACTGTCTCAGCACTATCATATTCACGGTTATACCGATCTGCCTAGTTATGTTAGTAGTACCACTGGCACTGGTGTGTGGGTCGTGGGGCGCGAGGCTGTACAAAAGTTCTGTCAACTCTTGCAAAACAGGCGGAATTGATAGGGGCAAAACTCGATATTTTGTCTAATTGACTCGGATTTCTGGTCCTCTCGTCCACAAGAATTTCTCCAAGCAATGACCTCAAATGCCAAGATATTGAATCAATATTTCAAAATTTTCTCAGGTTGCTCAGTGTTATAGGCACAATCATATATGACATAAACTTTATGTCAACTTAAATAAAACTGCTTTCCAGCGAGACAACGATCGGCAAACAACTAAAAATTATACAATACCACCTATGTTCTACCGGGACGCTTAATGTTATAGCCAGTATTTTGTTGACATTCATTGTGGGGTGGAATTGTGGCTGGGGTGGCGCCCTAGATTTGGCCCCCCCCCCTCAATCTAGATCCGCTATTGCACAGGGCCCCTACAAAACTCGCACCTGTGAGGCTCGGCTCCTGACTAGGGGCATGGGCATCAGTCGGTCGCATTTTGGCTAAACACCCCCCCCCCCCCCCAAACAAAATCGTTATGTACGCCCCTGGTTAGGGTACTGCCCGCATGGTACACAAGGAAAGTGTGTTTCGTATATAGTAAATATCCGAAACGTTTGTATATGTGGGGCCAATATGGTATCCATATGGGATTACTTATTTGTATGTATAAGTTCATTATTGAATCCATAGTTTTAGTTTTGTGAACCAATCTGCACAGAAAGGATTACATGTGCACCAGAAGCTTATGTGGTATGGATATGATATAACCACATTCATGTATATTATGTATATGGGTTCAATATGGTATCAATATGGGATTACCCACATGTGTATCTGGGGCCAATATCTTATCTATATGGCATCTACCACATATAAAATAATACATCTGGGTCCAATATTTTACCCATATGGGATTAGTCGCACTTGTATCGGCTTCAATGTGGAATCATACCCATTGCATTTAGTAGATATTAATAAGTATTCAGAAAATTAAAATCAGAATGTCATTAATGTGTTTATTTGGGATATGTTAAACTTACTGCGCCCTCAACAGTTGTATTTACATGACAAGTAAACAGTCGCACATACAGGTGCGATTTACAGGTATGGTCTTTTTGCAATTTCTTTATTGATCTACTTTACTTAAAAATATTTTCAATTTCCCATTTCTCCTTCATTAAAATTTAATGTTTTCGCTTAATTAAACATAAACATTATGCAAGAGCTAAATCTGACTATTGCAGGTCTTTCTTTAGGTCTGAAATGTCATATAAACTATTAATTAGACATTTATTAAAAAGGCCATAATCAACGCCCTCGATGGCATCTTATGGGTCCGAATTTCATTAGATTTGAATCAGATTTTCTGTCCAACGCCCTTGATTAACCGCAAAAATGGATAATCAAGTCTTCTTTATATTATCGTAACAGCGGTAAAAATGACAATCGAGGCTACTGTGTATATGAATCAGATTGAAGCAATTTCACTGAAATTTTCGACATTTCCCATTTACATTATAATCCGTTTTTTATCTATAATATATTGTCAGCTCTTTATTTAATCTTCCATAATGTATCTTTAAGTCAAACAATTTCAGGGCAGGTAACCTAACAGGTTACCGCAAAGGTTGTCTGGAAATTATTTGTAGCAACCTAGATGTATTAATGATGAGACCGTCTTTGTATTATAACCTGTAGGAACTGAGAAGTAAGAGATTAGAATTTAATAAAATTGAGAAATGAAGTCTTTTTTCTTTGTTTTAATTTATAATATTGAACATGAACATAACTTTGTAACACAGGGATCACGAACAGGGGTCAATGGCACAAAATTCTTGAATTAACAATGGATCGGAAGCACATACTGATATAATACCTGAACAAAATATCCAATCTTGCTGAAAAGTGGTACAAGGCATGTTCGATCGACACTCGATGTATGTATACAGGCTGATCACGATGTCGTCCATTATCAATAAATTAAAAACAAAAAAATGCGTTAGATTTTTGAAATCGTAACTGGTTATATTCAAGGTGATGCCACTATGCAAATTATAGGTGAACAAATTTATCACCAACATATCAACCTCAAAATAAACAGCATTTAAAAAAATAACACTTTTGTACTTCTAAAACCAATACAGTAATAACAAATCAGAAAAATATAACTTAAGATTAAATTAATTTTCAAAAAGTATATAATATTATGAAGCCATACTTGCAAAAGTGCTAAAGTCTTTGCGCGCAATATAAACAGGTACTCCATAGGTAGATGATTTATTCTACTGCCGTAATGAAATTTGTTTTATATTTTAAATAAAATTAAAATCCAAACAATTTGGAGATCTTTTATTAATATTTTTAGATTACTATAGAATTAAGTGGTGCACTAATATATACTTTGCAGAGATTAAACAGATTACAGCAGAATTCTCCTTATCACAGACTATAATAAGTTTACCATGAATAAAAAATAGAGTTTGTTCATGAATGAAATTGTGACACATATTTTCATTTTAAGAAATATGTACTTCACTCTACCATTCAAAATAAATGCCCGTCTCTGTAGAGCTTTAAAGCAAAAGAATCGTAATACATTATTCTTTAAAGAAAAAAATCAGGACCGGTTTCTACTAAAATTTATTATGAATACAGCCTGGCTGGTATAGGTTTCTTGCTAGTTAGATTTTAATGACTATAGCAGATTCTGTACTCAAATTATATAATATCTGACCATACAGCAGAGTTCATCAAGTCAACTGTGAATACCTTTCAGCGCGTCATCCTATAACAACCAATTTAGTCTGGTCATTGGTTTAATTTTAGATTCCGAACTGCAGAAGTATATGTGTATAGCAGCTAGAAGTTAGTACTAACAAGAAACAGACCAAAGTGGTACACATCTCTGCAATCAGTTCACAAAATTTAATCAAAGGTAAATTTGTCCCATCCTTCCTATACGACAAAATAAACTGAAATGAAAGTTTTTAAAGTTTCTGTATTTTGAAAATACTTATATAAAAGTTTTATAATAATATGAGGATGGATTTGAATGGATGTTTCTTTTTTTCAGATATTTTGAAAATATTGGCAAATTCTGAAACAAGAAAGATGTCATTTCAAGAAAGGTGACTTTTTACTTTTTAACTTATAACACGCATTAATGTGTGTCATGGCAATATATAGGTTTCTTGCTCTCGCTGGACAAAACGTCGGAAAATTTTATCAGCTATACAACGAAATACATACAAAGGACATTATAACCGAATTTGGTAAAACTCTAGTTTGGTGCCACCCCTATACACAAAATATTCAGCCTCGATGACAGCCTTGGTTTAACTACCAACCTTGAACAGAATGACAAACAAACGACAGTCATATATATTAGTATGGACTCTATATTATGCCCCCCCCCCACCTCCAAAACAAAAAATGAAATGAAATGAAATGGAGTTTAACGTCCTACTGTTCTGCTCCTAACCTGGGCTAATGAAGACGGGCATACGCCATACATTGTGCTATGAGGGAAATTTTGCCCGGACAGCGGCACTACGGCCTACTCTTATATCGAATTCCAACTGCCAAGGGATCTTTTACGTGCACGCCAATGTGTACACGGGACCTCGGTTTTTCGTCCCATCCGAACGACTAGACAGCTTTCCTTGTCAGCCCCTCCGTCCTGCATCACTGACAAGGGAGAACCACGCCGGAAAATCTGGATGAACTTTCTCGGCCAATGCAGGGATCGAACACCCGACCTCCAGGCTAGCGAGCTAGCGTCTTACCCACTTAGCCACGTGATCCCCCCAAAACAAAAAAGTTACGAGTCAAATTTGTTGATATAGGTATGTTAGAACAACACTGACAGATAAATGCTTTTGTCTGGTGCCCTTTTTTTCACAAAAAACTGTAACCATTTATATTAATGATCAGGATGATGAAGCTGCTTGGGTGTGCATGTTTTAAGACGTGACAACTCGCATTAAAATAAATGTGAATTTATGGAAGAATAGTTTCGTTCGATATGTGATATTTTGCAGGTAATATATAGTGCACTTACTTATTTTTTCGTTTTTTCATTCTGTTTTAGATAAACCGACTTGGACGATTAGGTGGCAGAGATGTCCTGTTCATCGTTAACAACATCATGAAGAATCTCAGTGTCACTTATGTACAACGCCGTTACAATTGGACAGGATAAAATGGCAAGCGTGAATTAGGGGCACATGCTACAGCTACCATTGTTTTTAGTAAGTAATATTGATGATACGTCATTGTTGGAAATAAATGCAAATCAATAATAGTTCTGGTACGATGGGGTTTATTTTAATGTTTTTACAATCGTATATCAAAAGTCTTTTTGAACCCTCTGCATATTTCAGTTGCAATTTAGATTTGAATTGTATGTGTTTTGTGGTCTAAGGGGAGACCATATCGAAAGAGTTGTGTTGCTTTGTCAGGTTGCACATCAACAGACCTAATGCGCTTTCCTTTTAAATTACAGATCCAGTCAGAAGAAATCCAATGATTTGAAACACCACAAACAAGGAAATCAAAGCTGGAGTTAGTCGTTTGAACTGGTTTCCTGACAAATTCAAGGGACGGGATGGTGGGAGATCTCAACGAATTTCAACCGTCCTAATTGAGAAAGCATAATAATAAAACATGAAACCAAATATAAATAGTTTTGTACTTATTTGGTACAAGATCCCATATGTGTCCCATATTATGCCCATATTAAATTTATTTGCACCCCACATGAGTCCCATATAGTAACCATATGGCATTTCTTAACATGGCCATATGGGTCCCATGCAAGCCCCATATTACATTTATTTGCACCCCACATGAGTCCCATATAGTACCCATATTACATTTCTTAACATTGCTATATAGGTCCCATGTAAGCCCCATATAACGCCCATATTATTTTAAATGACTTACCCATATAGATCCCACACAAACCCCATTTAGTACCCACATGGTTGCCCATATGGATCCCATATGAATGTTGGGTGCAAAAATGTTGGGGTCCCATATGGGCTCCCCATATTAAATGACACATGGTACCCATATGGTACCCATCAGTGAATGTTATCAGGGAACGTCATCGATATATCGATAAGTGAAATTAAAAAGTTTGACTGATCGTTTATTAGTTTTTACGAGCGTCTGTATGTAATCGGCTTCGTACGAATAGAGAAACAGATCAACTTTAATGTAAGAAGTTGCAGTAGGCCTATCTAAACTTTTAGGCCATAAACCATAAACCCGATCATGTACACAGTGGCGGATTAACCACGTTTGCGCCAAGGCCCCAAGGTTTATGGTTCCCTCAGAAAGTTAGAATACAGAACATTTTAGCATTGTTGAACATTGTAGGTGGCTTTATTCAGGAATAGGCCTACTATTCCGAATCCGAATAGGACTTTTCAGATTGCGTCGATTTCTTTAGTGATCAGTAAATGCACGTGACGTAAATTAACTAATTGATTGAAGTTTACTGAACAATAATTGGATATTTGATATAGATTGCTAACCATTGAGCATTCACATTCCAATCGATAATCAATAATATTTTTTTTTATATAATTCAATTCCAACATAAACTTAAACAGGCATTATCAGGCTTTCCAGTATGGAGTGAACCGACTGGATAACAACTGCTACATTTCAAGGGAGCGAACTATAAATAAAATTATGTTTACTTCCGATTAACTTTGACGGAGTCGGAGAGCAAAAATTTATGACATTACAATATGAATCAAATATTTGATCATTGTTAACAGTTTAAACAATTTTATTCTGTAAAAATGCCAGGTGGAAGAAGAATGTTATCCAGAATTCAGTCTGCTTCGTCTTACAATTCATCCATCCATAAATCTTCTGGTGGAAGGTGAGTCAAAAACTGAAATGTCAATTGAGTGAAGAATGTTCCATTCTTATTATACTGTCTGATTCATCGTAAATTTTAAACGGATTTCTTCGATTATGAACAAACTACTTAACGTTGGTTATTATAAACTTACCTGTGTGTTTGTAATGAACACCCGTTCGATAAAATCCATTGCACAACTAATTATCACAACGATGAAAACAAGTTCTCTCTTGAAAAATTGAAATATCACAAACTTTTCCCAGAGAAAAATACCAATATGGAAGATGGTTACGTCACTCTGCGGAAGATATCATTTCGTATTAGGGGTGACAGCATAGGAAATTCAAGTACAATTACGACAAGAATCCATGACCACTCGGACCAAAGATCACTCGGTTCAAGACCAGTCGGACCAAGTGATAGACCACTCAGCCCAAACAAATAGACTACTCGGACCATACAAAAAGACTATTCGGACCCAACAGAAAGACGACTCGGACCAATAATAAAATGTTGTTTTAATAAATTGATAATTGCGTTTGTTTTAATATAATTACTCGAACCAATAATAAAGTGTTATTTTAATAAATTGATAATTGTGTTTATTTTAATATGACTACTCGAACCAATAATAAAGTGTTATTTGAATAAATTGATAATTGTGTGTGTTTTAATATGACTACTCGAACTAATAATAACGTGTTGTTTGAATAAATTGATAATTGTATTCCAAATCGCAAAATATCGAGAACCACACTTGTAGTCACGTTTAAAAAGGGGCATATAAACGTCCGGTCTTCGTATTATTATGTGCTGTTTATATTAACGCATCAAGGGCGGATAACTTGAAAACGTGTCTCCACCCCCCCCCCCCCCATATATAGTAACCCAGGGGTTAGTGGGGTAGAACGGAATGAAACCACTGGGGATACCGCGAATGTGGAAAAAGTAAAATTAGGCTGTCAAACAAGAACAGTATACCCGTATATGTAGAAACTGTCAAAAGTCTGGACATACCGAGTCTCATTGCAAGAGTAAAGAAAAATTAGATTGATATTTTTTTTTGGCACCATTATTAATTAATTTTAAAACTAATCGTTGATTTATTTACGTACACAAAATTGAACCAAACAACTCTAAATATAAGAATTCCGTATAAGAATTATTTGCTTCTTTGTATTGTGATTTAATAATAAATAAATAGCATATTGTCTAGCCTTATAATATAATTTAATTGGTCCGACTGGTCTTGTTTTGGTCCGACTGGTCTTAGTCCGAGTAGTCTTTGGTCCGAGTGGTCTGGATACCTACGACAATTGGCATTGAGTTTGAGCGTTCGCACACATAACTATCCGCATTCCTGTATTTAGTTACCGTCTTTTACATTCTAGTAAAATCTCTGCAAATTTTATAGCTTTACTTTTTGAAATATTTTGTTCTAATTATTTGATCAGCGACTCGGATGGGATTATTTACTTTTGAACACGCATGCCGCACAAACACAACTATACATTCGTTTTACGGGCTTTATCACACTTCGGTCAAAACTGTCGAATCGAGAATTAATGTTCCGCTTCTTTCGGGGTCATACGGGCTTAGTAGCATTATATACCCACCCGGGCACCCAATACGGCAATAGACACGCTGAGGGCTGCCGCAACACGCTTAAAGATGTTACTGAAGCGGTTATTATTCGATCGAAAGAATGCGTATAAATTTAAAAATACACTCAGAGAATTCAGAGGTAAGCTTCGTGATCCTTGTTAAATTATTTATAACATGAAGAAGATAGGATATTTATAGTTTATTCATGACTTTATTTTTACGAGTATCCGTGCAATCAGTGATATTTTAATTGTGAAGAAAATTTGATAGACTGGCGATCAATGGTTTCCATATAAATCTCCTATGTAATTGCCTTCAATTGATATTTTTCGTCGCCCAAACCCATATACGATCAAAATGATCGCGCTGTCAAACTATCTTTCAATGTTAACCAACCCCCACAACAGGTATATTAAATTGGACCAATACGTCACGAAGACATTGTTGACATCGACTCTGTCGAAATTACAAGTAAATTTTCAAATTTTTCAAGAGAGAAATTGTTCTCATCGTTGTGATAATTAGTTGTGCAATGGATTTTATCGAACGGGAGTTCATTACAAACACACAGGTAAGTTTATAATAACCAAAGTTAAGTAGTTTGTTCATAATCGAAGAAATCCGTTTAAAAATTACGATGAATCAGACAGTAGTTCAGCTCTGAACGTAGGTCTCATTACACTCGGCCTGTAAGTTCAGAAACTCTTCTATTGAATCCTTGTCGAAACTGAGATCCGCCCCAGTCAATCTTACTGGGCAACTTTTTGCTGCTAAACGGTCGCGTGTCAGTCCCCGTCAACGCCTGAACAATATAAATGAACACCTTAGTGAGATATATTGTCTGCGATATCACCTCGGTGGAAGCGGACGTAAAACACAACTAACAACTAACTGAGAATATAAGACCTTGCTTACCTCGCTAGAACCAGTATGAGCGACACAACACGCTGTTAAAAAATACTTCTCCGTCTTCTAACCGACTTGGCGGACTTCATTGAAAGGGTAACGTACAAATTTATGAACTCGGCCATGTAAGAAAAAGATGAAACAAAATTTAGGTAAGCCTGGGGGGAAAAAATTGGATTTGATGAAAGAATTTGATTGAGACAGGTATTACTTCAGTTTACCTACAATAGAAGAGATATCGCTGTCAGTCTATTTTATTCCCTGCAATTTGTACAGGTTTGCTAATTATGTGTATATTGATGTATAAAGGTTATACTGCATGGTGTAATTGTAATGTTTATGATAATGTGGGTTTATTTTACAGTCATGGAGGTGAAGAGAGAGATCCAAATGTTATACCACTAGCTTCTATGGTAGTGTTACCAAAACATGCACAAGTACCAGAAATACCAGGAGACGGAAATCTGTACTTTGAATCCATGTTATATTTCTTTGGTGTCATTGTTATGTTTCTACAATATATCAATTTATATAAAACAGTTTGGTGGTTACCTCACTCTCATTCTAATTATGCTTTGGTAAGTATTACACATATATATAAATATAAGGCCATATAAAAAAGGAATTCTGGTTCTTGGATAATCCATTGTGACTTAAAAAGTGCCGAATGACCCATTTTTATTTTAGATAAAGAAAGTTATAAGCAGTTATTTAATTACTGCACTTAAATATTTTACCAAGGTAACAGGAAGTAACTCTATAAAAAAAATATGAATAAATTCAAAAAACATACCGTAGGCTCCTTTTTTAAGTACATAACCCTTATTAATGTTACTGACAATCAAAATTGATACTGGATAATTATACGTTCCGATAAATAACATGAGAGATAAATTTAGTCCCTTGAAATGTGATGTTTATAAGATGTCATTTAGCCTTTTGACAAAATAAAAACACAAAAATAAAAGCCTCCCTCCTGCGTCAGAATTTTTGGAAGAATTGTCTGAGAACCAATATATTTTTATTTTATGGCCTAATAAACTTGGTAAGCATCCAACAAAAGTCAGTCAAACGGTTTAATGCCTGTACATCTTCTATCTTACATTAGCTTTTTTATACACCTAACCAAATTTAGTGGGGTATCTTTAGGAAATTTACACCTGTTCAAATTCAGTTACTAGACTGATATGGATAAGGGCAATGTTAGGCCCTTTGACGTAACTGTTTTCGTACTCCCACATTTAATTTCCATTTCTTTATAATTGGATTTGTAAATTACATCCATTGTTATCTGTTTGCAACATTTCAGTGTGAAATTCATGATAATTTAGCTATTCACACAAGATTGGAACCAATGTCAAAGAGTAAAGTGTAGACAGACCACTGTGTCAGGCTACAATGCCCTGTTATTAAATTAAAGATGCATTATGTAAGAGCTAAATCTGCCTATTCCAGATCTTTATTTTGGCTTCAAAAGTTATATAAACTATTATTTAGACTTTTATTCACATGACAAACCAATCATCTACTCTCTAGACCATTAGATGGGAGAGATTTAAATTGATTAATACATGGTCACCATTTGATAATTTAATATAAAAAAGATGAAGTGAGGATATGTCTCGTATAACAAGTATGGTGTTATGATTAATAAACAATCTATGCCACATCATTTAAAAACTTCAAACGGTGATGACATCACTTAGAATAAAGTAATTTGAATGAAATTTTCAATATATCAATTTTGAATTATCTGTTTATTTTGAACTATTATAGCAAGAACGGCCAGCTCTTTATCTAAATCTTTCATAATGAATCTTTAAGAGTGTATAGTGTAGTTAATGCAAGCAAAAAATTTTTTGATTTAAATTGACAAATAATTCCTGTTTTCAATGTCGAAGACTTTGGATGATATTGAGGCTACTTTAATTGAAGTTTTGAAAAGGGTGATTCCAATGTTGAACCTATAAGAAGCTTACATAATTATGTAATTAAAATGACCCGTGTGTATGCCATAGTGGTTGCTAGTTCCTAATATTCTTTCAGTGGTAATCTTTTGTTATTTTTGACAAACAATTGGTTATTGTCTCATGATCTTTATGTGTGTTGGGGTGGGTTGAGGATTTCGTTCATTAGATGAATTTTTATCTTCCCAGTGAGTACTGTAGGGGATATTGAAGATAACCCTTTGACCTACATGTATATATATACCCCTTGAAAGAGCCAATTGTCAGAAAAATACATAACAAAACACATTGTTTCATCAGAGAATGATATTTTGAGAAAACAATCATAGAGACAGAAAGTAGCACCTATTTTGCATGGCTTTCACTGCAGCCTGCTTGCTTGAGTCCATAAACTTCTACCATTATTTAAGATTCTCTCTCATTTTGTATTTTTTTTATATTTTTATATTAAAAAACAAACAGCATCCTTTCATAACACAATGACCAGGCAAATGACACCTGAGCATGCACTGGTTGTCTGTCTAGGAGACGCCAATTTCATTGAAGTATAAGGGGGGTAACTCTTGTTTCTCACTAGTCTTGATTATAGATAATTTCAATTTTTTAGACTTCAAATTAATTGTATACTAATATTCCAAATATAGTGTTTTCTTTAAATGCTTTGGATTAATTTCATTGAATATTTGGAATTCCATTGTGATCTACTTAGGCCTTTAGAATTCATGTGGTAATACTCTCTAAATATTATAAAAATTTATTGATTCATTTTGTGAACTGTAAGTTGTTTTCATATACTCATAGGGAGAATGGCCAATTGAAAGGACAATATAATTGTCAGAAAAGTATGGGGGGAACATATGTAGTTAGGGAAACATGTTAAAAGTTTATGGGTGGTTTCCAACATAGGCAGATAATAACTTTCAGAATTGTTCAAACAACCTAGTTCCTATTTCAGTCAGGGGCAGAGATAAAGGAGATGTGTCTATATATACAGTCACTTTGATTGTACAAAAACAGAGGCTCAAAGTTTTTGTTTATTAAACCATGATAATTTCAATTCAGTCATTTGTGATAGCAATTTAAAAACAATTCAAATGATTTTTTGTATAAATTAATGTATCGCTTTTGTACAAGTTTATATTTCTGAAAGGTTTTCTTCACAAATTTGAATAAAGATCTGTTTTTCATCTCTTTATATCTGTCCATATGTAAGTCTATCTAAAGGATTGACTTTATATTGGTACACTGTTTACATTCATGAGATGAAGAAGTGTGTTGATTTTTGATATTACCCTTGATAAAGCTGAAAATTCTGGAGAATAAAACTGTCATCTGAGTGTGACAATATTTATGGACTTACTTGCAATCCTCTTTTTTTTCTATTTAAATTTTATTACAGAATTTCTACCTGATAGACCCAAATCTTGTGTCATTCTTGGCTATTCTGATGAGTAGAAGAGTTGTTGCTTGTTTTATGCAAGAGGTATGTATTGATCACTTCTGTGAGTTGTTCTGCTTATATATTAGTCTGTGATGTTAAATACACCAAAAAACCAAAGAGATCACAAAATCTTAAAAGACACAGCATTGTGTAAAATAAACACAAATAATATCTAAAGAAAGCATACATTTTTAAAGAAGTATTTATTTGTTAATTTTAGAATAATTTTCTCCTTTTACAATCAGTTTGTTGTGTTCTTTTTCTATGGGAATCAGTAATATAAATGTGTTGAGTCCTATCAAAATTTAAGTGGTTTAGAGGGGTAATAAATGCTTGTAAAGGTTTTAAGAAGGTCATTTAGATAAGTCTACGGTTATTTCAAAAGAGGGGGGGGGGAGTGGTCTAACGGGTGCAATGGGTACTTGACAAGGAGTAGGGTAGGGTTGTCTGCCTAACCTCTTGGTTTTTTTTCGGGAACTCTGGTTTCCTCCTATGCCCAAGTGAATTATTGAAATAGCAATGCACCATGTGTTAGTCCCGAAATGACCTAGTTTGTGTCAAGTGAGGGTTAAACCCCATTTCTCTTTCTCTTTATTTTAAAGATGACCGACCAACCAGGGGCCCTAGCAGGTTTAAATATCTGCTCATTATGTCTTTATCTTAATATTCACCTGTTCGGTCTTTTTTAAGTCTTTCTGAGCTTAGCAGTGATTACTAACTGCAAATTTGATAACAAATCAAAATAGAGTTATAATCATTTGCTTTCCTTTCTGTTTATTTTTTAAATATTAATTAATTTTAACTATATATATATTTTTCTTGTAGACATATGGATGGAAATCAAAAGGTGTGCTATACTGGTTGTTACAGTTACTCAAGTTAATTATTGTATTGAGTTTTATAGCTCTGTGTTTTTATACTGGTTATCATGTTGTCACTAAATACTCACCTCTCTACTGCCTCTTCTTGGCATATCCGTAAGTATAAGATTGGTATGAATAAATTAATCTTGAATGAATATGTCCAAAATATGTATATTTTTTTTTTCAAATCAGCTGTATGAATTCTAAGGAAATTAAATTTTTGGACAGTTTGAAAAAAAAACTTTGTAATTTTCTGTCTGTTTTGTGCTAATAGCATTGATTCAGATATCTATAATGGTGGATTTGTTTATTTTATTAATTCAATAAAATGCTAAAATAGACTGGATTTGATTATTGTAGGTTTTTCTGGGGAAGTGGTGATTGAAAACATAAACAATATTTTTTTCATTGTCCATTACTTTTATTAAATAGTTTGAATTACCCCCTGGATGCTTTCAGACCTTTTTTTTTTAAAACAATATTTTATTCAAAAATTGAAAAGGATTGAGGTAGAGTCATAGCCTATATGACCTCTATCCTATCAAACATTAAAGGTGTTATTGCACAGTTCATCTTCGTGATGACTATTTCACAGTTTAAATATGTTTTAAAGGGTGTTGTATGAATATTATTATTTTTCAGCTTAGCCACCTATCTTATTCTGTTCGGACCCACGGTGAAACCATTATATCATAAATATTATGCCTGGCCGCGATATACCACAACATGTCCGGAAAGATTTACACCAAAACCACGTAGTAAGGAGGGTCCAGATAGGGACGCATTTATTTTTCACAGCTGCACATTAACTCCTGACATCATACGAGATGAAGTTGAGGCCATGAAACAAGATTTTAATTCTCGGATGAAACAAGTTTTGTTCAACTCCATGTTATCGGCCTACTATATGTCATTTGTACCACTGTGTTTTGCTCAGGTAACTTTTATCCTTTTTCTTAAGATATCCTAAATCCTAATTGAAGTTGTTTTGATATAGATTTCTTCTTTAATTCTGCATGGGTTTGGAAATTACAGTATTTGCTATAGGAACCTTGCAGTAGATCTACTAACACAAATATTAGTTCAAAGTTTATTTTGTCGTATTTGATTTCAAGTAGGTTTTTAAAGCTAGCATGAAAGAACAAATTAATGAGGTAAACTTTTTTTAACAAGATAATACAGAAATATGTATATATGTCTCAAGTTTTTAAAGTCAATTTGTATCCTTTTATCATTTTAATAAAAATGTCAGGTCAAAAACGTGAGACATCAACAACACGGTTCAGGTCATTATTTTTTCTTTTAGTGGAAAGACATGTATTTTTCACCCCATGCACCTCAACAAGACATTTTAAAATTGTAGTTTGAAGAATAGGTATCTTGTAAAAATCAATTAACTTTTTGCTGTAACATCAAGATGTCTGGCTCTCTAAATGTACAGTTTAAAAGTAAAAAAATACTGTGACAAAGTAGAAAATTATTTTTTACATCGGAGGGAGCAAAGTGGCAGACAGTTACAGAGAGAATAACTCTAAATTATATTACCATATTGAACTGACTTTTTGCGTGCCGATTTTCTTTTACTTCTTTTCATTCATATAAACTTATTTAGGATGGCTTAAATTATATCTATTTGTCAATATTTGACAGTCTAAAATGTCTGTTTAGCTTCACAAAAAAACATAATCATCCAAAAATATAATTTTTTCATGCTAAATATCAGAATGTCCAAAACAACTGTGATAATTGTTGGGTAAGTGATTTGTGTTTTTCAATGTTTGTTTCTTCAACATTTATGTTTATAGTCATTTAATTATATTTTTCATGGATATTTGACCGATATTACCTTATTTTATATTTGTCTTGAGGAAAAATAATATTTACATATCTGGTACCTTTTATTATGGTGCTTATTATTTATTTCTGTATTCTCATGTCTGTATGTTCTCAGTATAAAAAAAAGGTAGGGGTGGGGAACTGTGCTTGGACCTTAGACTACAAATAGTATATAAATTTCTGTTACATGTAAACCATTTTTGAATAGCACCAATATTGACTCTGATTTAAAGTGGAAATTAGTGTAGGCATTTCGGAATAATTTGTCATCATCATCAGCATTTAGTTATGATAAACTTTAAATATTTTTTGTTTAAGTTCCAATTGCCATTTTATCAAATAATAACCATTGTTTGACTCTCAATAATATCATTGTAAAGAAACATTATTTTGGTTCCAACTAGTCTAAGAATTAGAGTGTTCAAACATTGTATTTAAGTGCCAGTCCATGAGAAAACCATGCAGAAATCGGGAAGGTAAGGGGTCGGCCGATTCCATTCATATTCACAGGGTTTGGTCATGCCCATGAGACTACTCGATAGCCAAAACCGCCGATCTCAGAAATTGACCATAGCTGAGATACGGCAAACAGGTGTTTTTTGGGGCTTTTTGCTCATTTTTTCGTCAATTTTAGGTAATGTTAGCTGCTGTTTTTCAGGTTGTAAATGAGTACTTATGAAACAAATGATGATTCGATATATTAGGCTAAGTAGTAATGTTTCAAAAAAATGAAAAAAGAAAAATCTATCTTTCCACTGAGGAGTGCCATTTGGTTATTCCTGAAGGGTATAAATCGAACCCTACAAAGTACCCAACTTTATGCCCTGATATCTCCACTGCCGCGGGGTCCCATGAATTATTTTTGTGGTTGTTAGTAAACGGGTACAAGGTCTCTCGATTAAAAAAATAAAATTTCATATATCTTCATACGCATGCGCGATAACATTGTCTAAGTTTTGACAATTTTGATATTGGATCATCTGATTTTTATATGTTCTAATCAATATAGTGACAAAATATGGACGCTAAACGACTTGATACCATCGGCAATTGACAGACTAGCGTTTCGAACCCGCTCAGGCAGTCGTAGAACCCGCTCTGTCAAAACTATCAGTTCTGGTATCCAGCCATCCAAGATGGTGGCTGCTGTATGTGGTTTTTCGCAGTTTTCTACTTCAAAATGCGGCGTTTTCACTGTGTATCCTAAAGAGACTGAGCATGTTTTATTGAATGGGGGACTAAATACATCAGAGGGTATCTATCATTGGTAACAGTGGATTTATTATGCGGACGCTAAATAGTAAGAGTGATATCCGAGGGAGCGTTTCATTGATATTTACTATTTATCAATGATAGTAACATCGTCCTGCTCATATTTACTATTTTTCAATGATAGTAACACCGTCTTGCTGATAGATCCTGATATACACTGAGGAGGTTAGATTCATGAGGTACTTCCACTATTTTATCCTTCTGATATTTTGTAAAAATTTATGAATGTAAATTTTGTATGATATTTTGCGAGAGTTCATGAATGTAAATTTTGTATAATACTGTATTTGATATTTTGTAAGGAAAGGATTCATTGAATGTCTCTGATATATTGTGAAAAATTATGAACGTAGTTTTTGTATTACATTTGATATTTTGTGAGGGTTCATGAATGTAATTAGATGTGATATTTTGTAAGGATTAGTATTCCCTCCCGAAAGTAAATTTTGTATATATTTGATATTTTGTGAGGATTAAGGATTGACTCACCAGGTCAATAACGGGAATTGCCCAATTTAGTATTTAATCTGCGATTGTATATTCTTACCTCAGAGAGCAATCTGCGCTTTCTGCTTTACGTACAAGTTTAAAAAAATGTTATGAGTTAGACCAACATGTATAAAACTAATCTTCTACTAGTACCAATAGTTGCTGTTTGATATTCTGATATATACGTACACCTATTGCTACATTAAGCCAATTGAAAAAAAAAAAGTTTTTTGTTTATTTTTGGGGCTTTTTGTGAAGATGATGATCACTGCACTTTAAGAGTGTAGGACTACTACTTGTAGGTAGGGTATAGTCTAAATATAGATGATTAACTCGTTGGTCGCAGGTAGAGGTAAAGATAACATCGGTCCTGAAAATTGAAAGAAAAGACAAAATCTTGCCTTTTTAGTCGTGCTGACCTGAAACTTTTTAGAGTGTAGAATTTATTTTCCAATCTTGAGGATTTAGGCCTACATTTTACTATTCAATGACTACTGTGAGCTATGACAGTTCTCTCAACTGCAGCTTATAATGAGATCTGTACTTATCAAGAGATTTAAGAGTGAAATAATGCGAATTTTAGCAAATTTTCACTTCCAGTTGCATTATGTTGCGAAAACACAGCAGCTGTGAAGGCGTCTGTATTATACTACATTTGTTTGAATATCAGTTTGATAATATTGGGGATAAAGCTTCGTAAAATTGTCGAATTTATCCGATTTTTGTCAAAATTACCCACTATTTTTGAGAGTGTAGTTATAGACATATATGAAATTTTATTTTTTTAATCGAGAGACCTGATACCCAGTTACTAACAACCACAAAAAGAATTCATGGGACCCCGCGGCAGTGGAGATATCGCGGCATAAAGTTAGGGTTCTTTCTAAGGTTTGATTTATACACTTCAGGAATAACCAAATGGCACCCCTCAGTGGAAAGATAGATTTTTCTTTCTTCATTTTTTTGAAACATTACTACCTAGCCTAATATATCGAATCATCATACGTTTCATAAGTACTCATAACCTGAAAAACAGCAGCTAACATTGCCTAAAATTGACGAAAAAATGAGAAAAAAGACCCAAAAAACACCTGTTTGCCGTATCTCGGCTAGGGTCAATTTCTGAGATCAGCGGTTTTGGCTATCGAGTAGTCTCATGGGCATGACCAAACCCTATGAATATGAATGGAATCGGCCGACCCCTTACCTTCCCGATTTTGCACAATTTTGCATGGTTTTCTCGTGGACAAGCACTTAAAAGAAATGTGAAGGTTTCTTGATAAAGGGTATTTCACCCGAAACGTCGACCAATTAAAAACAATCTTCTACTTCTACAAGTCTGTTGTGTATTCTGTTGAGCGGGCATTCTTTAATTTTATTTTACTACTCCGCCCCGCAGGTATCATCTTTTGATCCAGTCTCCACGCAGATGTATCAGCCTGTCCAACTTTAATTACTCTCTAAGGGAGTGTTGCCGTAACCTTTTCCTGTTTCCAGTTTCTAAAATTTCAATAATTTTGTAGATGACACAGTATGTTTTAACCTCATGCAAAGGCTGGAGACAGTTCGTTATTAGACTGAAGTTTCACTTAATGTTGCCAAAAGTTTTAAAACTTTATCAAAAATTTAATTCCTGGATAGACTGAATTCAATGACAATAAATGTGTAACTATTATAGTCTTTTATGGTCCCATTAAAGCTTTTACTGTAGTTTGTTTTTCAATCTTGACATTTCTTCAAGCTTTGCATGATTTAGTTGTTGTTTATTATTTTGTCAGTAAATTTTGTAATTTCTAAAACAGATTGTGCGTACTATGAACAGTGATTCTCTTAATTATATTATTGTTATTATGATCTTAGCATATTACACAGATTTCCACATATGAATATTTGAATTATGGATGGAGGGTTGAACAAATTAACTAGTATAATAGAAAATAAAACATAAAAATGTGAAGTAGGGATGGATGGAAGTATATATACTGTGACATTTTACTTTGGATTTCTTAAAGGACAATATTGGTGCCAGTCATTATCACATATGTGATAGAACTAATTAAACACGTTCCAAATATAATTTTAACACAGAGATCATAACAGATACATGGCCGAATTTCTGCTCACTAATAATCCCTTCCAAGACCAAAAGTCTGTGCATTACCATGTTTTTATAAGGTATAGAATGAATATAAACAAGGGAATGTACGGACTATTTCTATTTTTCTCGTGTTCTCTTATCTTATGACATTCAATTACTTTATTGAATTGTCAGGTATCCTCTTACAGTCCCATATAACAACTTTTGGTCTTGGAAGGGATTATTAGTGAGCAGAAATTCGTCCGTGTATCTGTTATCACTCGTCACATCAGTCAGTTATATAGAGTGATGACTCGTGTTTTCCTTTGGCGTTCGTCACTTCCGATTCAGGAAACCTGTGACATATGTGATAATGACTGGCACCAATATTGTCCTTTAAAGAGATGTGACATGAAAAATGATAAACTTTTTTAATACAGTAGTAATTATTGGTAGGGCATGAGTTAAGTGAGCTTGTGTTAAATCGTCTATATTCAGTTTCATCACTACTTTCAAATGATATTTGGAAAAAAATGGCCGGTGTAAAAGATAAACATCACTTGATCATACATTACCCACTAATACGTACTCATGAATTACCAAAAACATATATCTACAAAAGCCAAAATAGATCATCCCTACAAGTTTTCTTCATGTTCGTCATATACATGTAATCAAATGGAAGCAGCTACAAGTTAAGGATTGGGATCTTCTGAGCCAACATTATCTAACTTATAACGGGTGGAAAAATTATATTCATTCTATTATCTGTGTATTTAAGGGAGATAGTGAACCCACACAAACAGTAAGTACCGTGTAGCTACCGATGGACAGCTACCAGAATCAATTTTTTAAAACTTTTTTGATATCCTCTTCAAACACCACATTAAATTAAAGGTTGTATTCAGGATGTCACTGGCAGTTGTAAGGGTAGAATCATGAATAACACATATCTTCAACACACAAACTAAACAAATTGGACTGATTTGCTACAAACATCACCATTATAGTATTTATGACGTCACCATTATAGTATTTATGACATCACTAATTCATTGAGTGTAAAGCTTGTAAGGGGGCACCTAGTATTTTTCTAAAAGTCAATCTGATTATCTATTATTTATAAGAGAAAGCAAACAGATGAACCATCCTCTTAAGGCCATGAGAGATGTCCACCCTGTTGCCCATTACTAGTTCAGAGACTTTTGATGGTTTTCTCTCTGTGTGTAGTTATTTAAAATACTTTGTGATTGGGTGGCTTGTACATTGATCGGATATATTTCATCATACAATTGGTATTACTTTCTTTTGTAAAAAAACATTAAATGGATGATCATATCCACTGTGTTTCATCTATTCTTTATTAAATCTATAATTTTTTCCAAGACAGACCTTCTTGGCAGTCAATCATATAGTCATTTATTGACAATAACCTACATTGGTAGTAGTTGCTTGATGGGAAGGCGAGTGGGGATTAAAATGGGGATAGAGGAACTTAAGTGTGGGTGCAAGCAGTATAAAGTTCATTCACCAAGTTTTGGTGTGGACTATTTGAGCACGATGACGACGATGTTCTGAGACATGACTTTGATTCCATACTTTCTGTCTAACCTCATGTTTTTTTCTCGTGTATTCCAGTTTTCCTCCCTCTTCTAAAGAATCCTGTATGCAAAGATGGGTGGATATGAAACCTATTTCTCTCCCTCAATACTGCCTTAATGTTTGAATGCATCAGCTAACAAAGAACAGTGTTTAGAATTCTGGTCAGCTAAATGTAAAAAAAAAAATTCAGTGAAATTTTTTATTAATTTATTTATTATTTGTTTTTCAGAACACGTTATACTATGACACCTGGTGGGTAGGCCAACATGTTTGTTTAACATGGTTGAGTTCATTCCTTATGTTGATCTGTCATTTTTTATCACCAAAATATCTAGATCTTCTACATAAATGTTCTTTACATCTGGGTAGATGGCAGAAAGTAGAAGGCAGACATGCTCATGTACCTTATAATGCGTAAGTTGGAATATTTATTTTAAAGATACATTATGTAAGATTTAGATAAAGAGCTAGTCATTCTTACTATAATACTTCGAAAATAGATAATGTAAAATGAATAATTTGAAAATTTCATTCAAATTACTCTATTGCAAGCGAAGATATTAGCCTTTGAAGGTTTGACAAGACATGTGCAATAATTCCAACCACCGTACTGGTTGTTCGATGCCATTGAGAGTTGATTATGGCCTGGATAAGTTAATTAATGTCTAATTAGTAATTTAGAATAAAATTTCTTGCATAATGTATGTTTAAACAGGACGGTGGCATATACCCAATCTGATTAAAATACAGATCCTATTTCGTTTCGTTTTTTTTATAGTTCAAAATTTCTTTTTACTTGTCTTCACTACTCTAGGATCTGGAAGTGTTGGTATATAAACCGCGATCTGGTTAATGTGAGGGATTAGCCAATGAAGCGGTCTGTTACGGCAAGTTCTTGGCATACTATGCACGGAAATGTGGGTAAACCACTAGAAACATCTGACATCATAGTGTCAAAAGTTGCTCGTATGACCCCTGACGCGACCTATCACTACAACTGGTCAGATCTTCATTTAGTATAGGCCATCTAAAGTAAAAAACGAAACGAAATATAGATCTGTATTTTAATCAGATTGGCATATACCAGTAGGCAGAATTTCTGAAAGGCCACAAAATTTATTAGTGTTGAATATCCCCAGAGATAAACAATTTGATAAGTCAATACTTCGGGTCTTTATAACTTGATTCTAATTGAGTTAGAGTGATGAAACTTTGTGTTTAGTTTCACTTCATCAAAATCTTGACTATGTTCAATCAGGAGTATTTTCTGCTAAGACCATGTATACATAAGCAATTTGATTGCTCAATGCTTTACAAAATTCTGAATGTGCAATAGTGTCATCTATTTATTTGGGATTAAGGCACAGGACATTGGCCTCACTGTTGGCTAGTTCTACTAGTTTCTTTTGATGGTAAAGTTCTGAAAGCGGTCTTAATGTTGAATGGAAATTGATTTCATATTGTTCTTGCAGTTTTTGTTTTAAAAATTCTTCAAAATGTTATATTAGACACTGTCCTTTTTCTTAGAAAATAAGACTTTATGCTTGTAAACCTATTTTAAATGATGATGATAATGATGATTGAGTGTATTATTATTATTACAGATGGTCAGAGTTACAAGTATGGCCACAAGGTGCTCTAGTCAAACATGTCCGTGGTTTATTTAAAGCTGATGGTATTAATGTTACAGCTGAACCAGGCAATAGTATGCATGGCAGATTTTATGTAAGTTATATATGTCATTGCAGCTGTTACCTGATTTTATTTAATTGTTAGGGTTGGATGGCTGAATGGTTAGTGTGTGCGCGTTGTATCATTTTTTCTGTCATTGAGTCAACTGGTGTGGTTTCGATTCCCTGGTTGTAAGTGACAAGGAGTAGTGTCGCCTGTCCAACCTTGTGGGTTTTCTCCATGTCTTCTGGTTTCCTCCCACTGCTAAAGACCCATATGCGCAAGCAAATTATTGAAATAAAATTGAACCATGTGTTAGTCCCAAAATGACCTGGTTTGTGTCAAGTGGAGGTTTAACACCATTTCTGTGGCCAAGGTTTTTGTGACTACAGCAGGTATTTGTCTAGTCTTTCCAGTTACTTATACCTGTATCACTACTCTCCTAAACTTCTTAAGACCCCCTTTAAAATCCAGCGAGTATTTTTAAAATCTATTTTTATAACAATTCAAAAATTTCAAAGAGTTAATTTTATTTTTAATAAAAGAATAAAAATCAGATAATTTTTCAAAACCCATGAATTGATTACATGTATATTATTTCTTATTTCAGTTTCTATTCAGTAAACCATTGAGAGTTATTAACTGGTTATTAATTATGGCCTGGATGTTGATAGGATATCAGTTCTTCCGTCTGCTTCAGTGTACAGAATGGAGTCACATCATGTCATTAGCCCTAATACTCTTCTGTAATTATTATACTGTTTTTAAACTAATGCGGGATCGATTCATCATGGCAAAATCTTATAAAGAAGAGGACTCTCTAAATAGCTAAAGAACAAAAATTGAGAAATAAAAGTGAACTATATTGTGTGGTTTTGTGGTGTTGATCTACGTGTCATTGTGATGTTGTGTTAAGTGTAATGTACTATGATGTTATCCTTCCAGCTTATAAATTATGGTAACAATTTCTCTGACTTTTACACCATGACCTCTTACATGTACCATGTATTGACCTATTCGAATTATAGCAAACTACAGTAGCAGGCTGTAATATCAATATTTTTTTATTTTTTAAAAGATACATTATGTAAGATTTAGATAAAGAGCTGGCCGTTCTTGCTATAATAATTCAAAAATTGATAATGCAAAATAAATATATTGAATATTTCATTTAAATTACTTTACTCTAAGCTAAGTTATCACTGTTTGTAGTTTTGACAAGATGTGTGCATTGATTATTATCGTAACCACGGTAGTGGTATTTTCAAGACTTAGATTTGCTCCTCCATTTTTAAATTAAATCATTAAATGGCCGAACCACCCTAATCTAGTTAAAATCTTGAGCATTCGATGGCATCGAGAGTTGATTATGGTCTTGTCATGTTAATATATGTCTAATTAATAATTTATATAACATTTAAGGCCTAAAGAAAGACCTGCAATAGGCAGATTTAGCTCTTGCATAACATATCTTTAAAATCTTTAAAAATAATATCTTCACTGCCTCACATTGGAACTAAGTCATGGAGGCAGGCTAGTAGTGCAAACTGATCCAACACTAACCTTTAATATGCCAAATCTCCAGTTACCATGCAAACAATTAACATCCACTGCTTGATCAGTATGAAATCTTGTGTGATATATAGCTAGTCTCTAGGTCAGCATTGCCCTCCTATATTATACTGACCTGCCCCCTATGAATAATATAAAGTGAAATAACTTTTTCTGACATTATTTTGTTGTTTGTTTTTAATTAATGAGTATTTACCTGTAGTACTTAATGTCTTTAATAAGCTACATAATAAAATATTTGTTAATTTGTTTGGGTTTTTGGTATTAAATGTATCTGACTACTGAAATGAGCCATTAATAGTTAGAGATATTGAATAACTTCTAGAAGCAAACCACTATGAAATTGCATCATCTCAGTACCCACAATTTAGCAATTCTCTCTCTATCTCTCCCTCCTTTTTCTACCCTTTTGCATGGCCAATTTTTGTTGAGTTTTTGGTTTAGTATTGACATTAACATTTTCTACCAGTTTTTAGTAAATACAAATATTTATGGTTTAGAGGCAGAACTTAACCTTGTTTAGAGGTTGCTTACATGTTTTTAGTATACTAATTCTAGTTTATGTATCTCAAAATTACAATGGTCAACCTGATACAAAATTTGGAGCAAAGACATGGCCATTTGTTGCTCTGTCTGTAGTGAAAAGCGTGCAGCTCAACGACAATTTGGGGAAAAGTTGGAGCTGGGCAAATAGACAAGAGTTAACATACAGAGTTATCCACCTTGGCAGTTTTTGTTATTCTCTTGTTCCACTATAAGTTCATAGAACAAGTCGAAACCAGAATTTATCTGGCAGGAAAACATAAACCAAACGTGTGCTGGGGAACCATTATTCAGTGACAAAAAAGGCAGCTGGTCACTTACATAGAAAGCAAATTGTTTTAAATTCGTAGGCTATGCATATGAAACAATTTTTGGAACATGTTTGTCAGTAACACATGATCATTGTGTGTGGGTGTGTGTGTGTGGGGGGGGGGGGCAGTGCGTTTTATACGCCCAAATTGTCATCTATATCGGCCCGTCGTCCACAATTGTTCTCGACGCTAAAATCATCATCTGAGTGAAACAGTTTTTATAATAACTTGCATCTAGATCCTAAAGTTACCGTCTACCACCAGAGTCATCGCCCTTGATCTGTTTGAAAAATCCTTTGCACTCGAACGTTATCATCCAATTATATACAGTTATTATGCCGAAACATAAAATCCTATTGATTTTCAATGATTTCATTGAGATGTAAAATCCTCGGTCGAACCAGTGGACTGCATGGTTAGACACATGGCACGTGCGCGCTATATCATAAGGTATGTTGACATTGAGTCAACTGGTGTGGATTAGATTTCCCCGGTTGTACGTGACCAGGACTAGGGTCGCCTGTCCAATCTCGTCGGTTTTCTCCGGGTCCTCCGGTTTCCTCCTACTGCTAAAGAACCCTACGCGCAAGCGAATTATTGAAATAAAATTGAAGCCTATCAAATTTTAATAATTTCTAATAATTACTTCATGTGTATCCCTTAACGTATGTTTTAACGTCTACGTATATTTCGTGGCCTGGCAAACTATCTTTTCTCTTGTCTACTTCTGTGTAACAAAATGTTAAGAAAAAGTTGATTGTCGCACGTCAGTCATTTCAATATACTTTGGTATATTAACCCTAAAGAAAGGAAATCCATAAATGGATTTTTCTGAGTGTATTTAAAATAATCTTACACTGCAGAAATTTTAGAAAATGCTCTATATTTTGTAATAATGAAATCTTCCTTATAATTTAACGCATCAGAAATTTTTTAAGCAAAAAAAATAGCGACAATTCAAAGTTATTTTCAAGAACAGTGTTATAACATCTCTGAATAAAAAAAAAACAGACTCGTATTCTGAAGCAAACAGAACTTCTGGGTATAATACTTAAGTATATTATTATCCACGGCTCTGCCATTCCCCAAAGTTCCTCCTTATCACTATCATCCAGCAAAATCTCAGAAACTAACATGGTTTCTGCGACAGAGACAATAACTCTTCTAAAATTGATGCGCAACTCCGGATTTCGATAGCCACTTGTCTTGTGACTAAACAAACAATCCAAGCAAGTTTGAAGAAAATTCAAAAACGTTATTTATAAAGGTGATATGGGGCATTTGATGGAAAAATCTGAATTTCGATTGTGTCCCAAGTTAGGACAGTCCAAGGATCTCAGCAAAATGTAAAAAAGCGACAATTCTAAAACTAACCTGTTCAGGGTTTCCATAGTTTCTGTGTCAGATTAACTTCAATATAGTGGGAGAAAATTAATGGACCGAACATTGCAAATTGCTTTTAGTTTGAGATTTATTTATTTACAGGTTTAATACTAATAAATAATACAAATTAAATACATTTTAATCTCAGGTACGGCAATGACAAAACAATGTACAATGAATATAAGTCAATAATAATAAATAACATTTTATTACATAATGAGTTTAATTAGATTTGCACTAGTATGGGTCTGCAAGAATTAACTGGGATCTAATGCGAAACGACATGAATTGCATCTACTAGCGGTCCAAAGTATTAAGCGACCAACTTCTTTTGGGCCAAACCTCATCTACTTTGGCCCAGCATTTGTTAATCATATACAGTTTCGTTTTATATAGTGTATGTGTGAAATTAAATACAAAAATATATTTCCGGAGCAATGGTAACGAGTTTGTTGTTACATCATTGTCCACTGTTGGATGTGCTTTAATTGGTCCAGTAGGTTTGCTGGCTGACTTATCAACATAGCTAATAAAACCTCTGGTATAGATTACGTTTTCCGAAAATGTATATTACTCATTTCAATCCGGGTATATGTCTTGGTTCCTAGAGTAAGTCGGTGTTGGTAGCTCGCCTTACAGAACCTTATCAGGAGTGTGATGGGACTGGGGGTAACTAATGAAAATCACCGCTTTACCATAGCAAGGGTATGATTAATGAACTGATACCGTTGGTAACCTTTGTTTCAGGAATACAGGTAGTACATATCGCCGCCTATTGACAACAATAATTACACTGATTGTCTATCATTTGTTTTAAAGGGGTTTTGAATATAAAATGTATATTTCATTTCAACCGCTAGCTTATTAAAAGTTTGTATGAATAGTATACACTACACTAATAATATCACACACTAAGCAATGTTTTCGTTTCGTTTTGTTTTGATTTTCATAAGTCAGTTCATACCAGATCACCTTGAAGAATATTCCCAACAAGTTTCTCAATCGAGATGTTTCCAACAATATTTCTAAAAAATATTCTTTCGACGAGCGTCGATTTTAGACTCTGTAGTTTGGATACCAACACCAATAGACGACCAAATCGTACCATTTGTCTGGGGTATTGTATTTGTATGTGTTCTGTAAGCATCAGGTGAGCTTGTTCTTGTAGATTTTCAACTGTCTTTGTGTCAACTAAACCAGCTGCGTCTGTGAAGTAAATTGTAATTCATATATGTAAATATGATAACTGTATTAAAACACACAATAAAATACTATAGTACCAAACAACTTTAAAGGAAATAAATAGCGTGTTGGACAATTTTACTCAACCTACTAAAAAAAACACGAAATGAAATGGGGTTTAACGTCCTACTGTTCGGCTCCGAACTGGGCTAATGAACACGGGTATACGTCATACAGTGTGCTATGAGGGAAATTTTGCCCGGACAGCGGCACTATGGCCTACTCTTCTATCGAATTCCAACTATCAAGGGATCTTTTACGACTAGACAGCTGTCCTTGTCAGGCCCTTCGTCCTGCATCACTGACAATGGGGAACCAAGCCGGAAAGTCTGGATGAACTTTCTCGGCCAATGTAGGGATCGAATAAAAAAAACCAACAAAAAAACCCATATAGATTATAAGACGAAAATAAATCACGGTATTAAAAAAAGTTCAGCTTTCCTCCTAACCCGTGAAATTTAGGGTAGATTATGGTAAATATTCAGTACATTATTTCATGGGCTCGAACTCACGATCGAATTGCTAATAGATCTGAGATTCCCAGTATTATGCTTTAGTATTTTGATATTGATCAGATACAGTGGTATATTAAGGGTTCTCGACATCCGTGGGAAAAACGTTTTTGGCGACCCACACAAGGATGTCATATTTTGTTCAATTGCACAAATGAAGCAAAAACATTAAAATCAATCATATTTAATAACTATACCGAATAAAAATGTTATACATATAGCATGCATAATTTGAGTGTTTTCACTTAGATTGATTACAGAAAAAGGGGCGGGGCATAATTATTTATATTTGTCGGAAGAAAAATTGAGCCTCTTCACACCCCTGTTATATACATTGATCAAATGTCGTAGAACTGAATTCTTGCTGATAACATTTTAAACTTCAGAAAGCATGCATAAAATTGTGACAATTTCTACCTGATTTGAAAAGAGTAATGGCTTTTAGACATGTAAATTCAGTAGAGTCCAGTGCCATTTCTCTAAGTCTAGCCACGGTTTCTGCCATTTTCTCCAGTTCTGACGTTGAGCTAACTTCACCAACAGTCCCAAGTACGTTGAAGGACCTGGACAATCCTGTAATATCTAGAGGTAAACCCCATTGTACTATTCCTAGTAGAAACAGATCTTTCCACGCGGTGGTTAACAAAAGTCTCTGAAATTAATACAATAATACAATATTAAAATTATCAACAGTATCAAGTAGTCAAGATTATTATAAATACCCCTTCGTCTGCCATTTTTAAATATTTAGTCAAATCAATGGTAACCTAAAGTTTAGAAGTCTGCATCAAGTTAGTTTGTTTTGTTGTCACAAACACAATATAAGCTATACACCCACTATCAGCCCCTTTTATAGGTGCAGCCAACCAAACTTATGGCCATTGAATCACTTGCCCAAACAAGATATTTAACCACTTAAATGAAACGGAACTGTGATTCCTGTAAATATTATAATTAAGCGAAAATTAATTACCTGGTCCACATCTGTTAAAATGGTAAATGCAGGAATCTGTTTGACCCAACCAATGATAGTGAACAGTAGACGCGCCATTACTTCTTGCCAGACGTCTCTCTGGAACGTTAAAACTGGAGATGAAAATGCGGATGGTGCTTGGAGTCTGACCATTTCACTGACATCGTTCCTCACATAACCCATCAACATGAACTGACGATTTGTGTTGGTACTAAGGTTCTGAAAACAGTCTTGTTGTAACTGAAACATGTTCTGTGGTGGAGTGTTTGTAACCCGGAGATCCAT